CAGTTGATACGTTGAATCTTGCCAACAAGATATTACAAGTCAGCGGAAATATTCAATGACCGATCAGCAGACCTCGGATTCGCTGACAACCTCAGGTACTTTGCAACTATTATGACATTTCATACAAGTCAGGAGAAATACCAAATCTTGCACACTTTTAAAAACTAGAAATTTTTACTTCAATTGCCTAAAATTATGGTTTTGTTCCAATCTTAATATATTCAAATACATTTTAATTTCGCTTCAACAAACGGCTAAAGTACATAATGTTGTGTTTCCCTTACACACTGGGAACTAGACCTCTCATTAACCCCTAACTTTCACTTCCAGTAACTCAATGCATAAATCTTAGAACTTTAAAAATTATCTTTTTATTTGTGTATCTTTACTTACGACGTAACTTAGTAATTTCAACTTACAAAAACGTGATCACTAACAACGTTATGATCTTAATAAAAATTTCATATACAATACTGTACATCGCACTTTACAATTACAACACATAATACTCGTACATATTGCTACATCAATATACGAGGATAGAGCTTAAGCACAAAGCTTACTCCTTCGATAGTTACTGTATAACATGAAAAACTAAATAATGCGTATAATTGAACTATGTTATAAGCTCGCAGTACTCGAGATGCTATTCTGAACAATCTTTCTAATAGCATCTTGTATAAGGAATTTCGTACGGGTAGGTATTTTGCAGTAACATTATTGAGCTACACATACGCTCTAAAGAAGGATAGACCTAAGTATATGTGCATCTGACATTGTAACTGTCTATAATTTCCGCAGATATTTTACAAACTTGCGAGAAGGAATATCAAACCAACTTTTGTACTAAATAGAATAATGAAAATTTTCTTGATCCTGATTTAAAATATCATTTAACCTTACAGAATCCTCTCCTTCCGATGAGATTAGCAGTGATCCAGCTACAGATTTAGAAATAAGTAAGCAGCAAATACACATAAAAGAAAAAAGATTATGTAAAGAATCTATTGAGAAAGCCAAAATAAGGCATCCATTTCGTGGACCGTGTCATTGCTACAGAAGACCTTGCAAAGGAGAGGATCTACCAACAAATTATTGCAAAGATTTATACAATAAATTTTGGAAGATGTCTACTAGTAAAAAGAAAGTATGGATCGTTGAGCATATTCGAATATTGGAAGTTTAAAAGCGCAGACGAATGACGAAGGGAAAAACTTATAGAGCATACACAAAGCGTTACAGTTTGCCAACTCCTGATTTGGTCAAAATTGATGTTTGTAAAAGGATGTTTATGAATACCATAGGATTATTGTCCGATTGTTTTATAAATCGAGCTTTGAGAAAAGCGGACGGTAATATATTAGGTGATAGAATCATTAAAGTGACCTTCAAAAATGCCTTACAACCGAGCGCTATTGAGGTTATAAGAAAGCAAATTTTATCATTCAATCCATGCATAAGCCACTATAGAATTGAAGAAGCACCCAGGGCATTTTATTTACCTGGGAGTTTAACAATCAAATCGATGTATCAAAATCTCATACAGAAACATCTAATAGAAGGCTTGGATTATTCTTTATATCAAAAGCAATTACAAAAGATGAATATCAAGTTTACAAGTCTAGGATCAGACGTGTGTCCCAGCTGTTTTAGCTACAAACAACATCGACATACAAGGATAAATAGAAATTGTATTAAATGTCAAGAGTATACAGCTCATACTAATTTCTATAGGCAAGCACGATTTTATTATCATATAGATAGAAAGAAAAAACAGTCTAGCACAGATGCTTACTTGACAGCTGATTTGCAAAAATTTCTACTTTTGCCTGTTCTGGCCAACCATACACAGATAGCAGCTAGAACTAAACGTTTAATATGTTTTAACCAGACCTTTGTCCCACTAGGACGAGCAACAATGGCAGTACCCAACGTATGCATCCTCTGGCATGAAGGGGAAGCCGGCAGAGGTGATTCGGAAATTGCAAGTGCATTTATTGAGGGTTTGAAATCTTATAATGGAATCGAGCACATTACGCTTTGGCTGGACAATCATGCCGGGCAAAATAAAAATTGGACACTCTATAACGCAATGGCTCATATCATTAACACGAATATCGTTAGTTTGAAAAAGCTTACTTTAAAATATCTTACTCCTAGCCATACATTTATGACAGCTAATCCTGTCCACGCTGCCATTGAAAGGAAGATAAGAATATCATCCAATCTGGAAGTCTTTCAAGATTTAGAAAATATCATTTCCAAATCGGGTAGAAATACTCATGTGCGCTCGCTAAAATATACTAATTTCTATAAGTGGGAGAAAAGGCCACCCATTGATGAAAGGACAGCCAATAGTGACCATTTGACCACAGCAAGAGTTATTCAATTTGTAAGAGGAGAGTCTAAAATTTATTGGAAAACTGATTTCACGGCAGAAAAATTTCACTGTAGTGAATTTCTACTAAAACATAGGGGCGCTCGAGCACGAAAAGGGATACTTGGAGCGGTGCTAACCCAGCCTAGAGGAATTAACTTGGTTAAAAGGGAAGAAATTATTACCAAATTAGGTTACCTAATGCGAAAGCGCAGCTTTAAATTCTGGACCAATATCTCTGCCAAGATCGGCATTGTCAATCTTGCAGTTGCTGACGATGATTAAGTAAATTCAACACCTGTATTAATCCATTATTCACATTATGTAGAATCGTAGAATCCTGTCATGAAAATAAGAATAGAGGACGCATAAAATATGCTTGAATTGTAGCATCAAGAGTAGTATTGGGCTTCTCTATTAGTGCGCATAAGTTAATAAATTGAAATTGTTTATTGGTAGGTAGTGCAAAATGCTATAGCATTTTCCGGCTAAAAATTAATGTCCAATTATAACTTACTCCAATGAACTCTTTTGGGGAGCTATCTCTGGATAATAAAATGATATTCTACTAAGCTGCAGTTATATCATTGCCCAGTTTAGCCTACGTTTATTTGATCTACTCGTACCTTCCAGTTACCCACGTACTTAATAGCTACTTTAAGTGAGATTGTATAATAATATCTACTATCAAACTCTCCGTATTATAACATCAGTTTCATTATGCTATGTTAAGAAAAGAATGCTAGCCAAGCTTAGATTAACGATCTAACAAATGAATGATTAACTAGTGTATAACATCGCCGTCTCTATCACTTGAGCTCTTGACGTAGAGCTCAATTTGGATGACGACATATTTACGTGAATGCAGCAGTTGCTGTATAAATAAGAAAAGAATTGTGCGCAGCTCTGGCTAGCCTATCAGATCTACAGTACGAGTATTTTCATAGCATTCGTTACGTTTTTGTTGGCGGCACTAGATCAATCACGCAAGATAAAGATTTCCAGAAGTCCATATTGATACCAGGTACTGTGTTAATAATAATAATGTAATCAATTAATTTGAATATCTAAACTAAAAGAAACGAGCTTCGCCGTGTAGATTAATTATTACTTAGTTTTCACTACGCCTATCCGCTCTCAACAGTACAACACGTGAGCCCAAAGGTGCAATTGCTCCTCACTCGCAAAATGTAGCCGTCCGTGACATTTCAACTTTCCAAGTCGAAGAAATAGTAACGCCAATCTATCGCAATTGTTGCCTTCAAAAGTTTAGTTAATGATCAGTTATGACTACAATTATTACCAGGAAAAAGCCGCCTATTCCAGTGCCATAATCTATCTATGCAGTATCTCTCAATATCTATATATACATTATACAGTATGTTAGTCTTATATTATTATTCATTCGGAATGTAATGGCATACTTACGTATTTATTATAATATTATAGTACTCATGCTACTATACAATACTATATAAGTTTGATATAAACCTTTCGGGCATTACGCTATAAATTTATATCTACATGTGCATACGCACTATAATGAGCCCCGTCGCGTTGCTAATGCTGGCAGCTCCGTTATTAATGAACTTCTTATAAAAACCATCGAGATGTACTATTTGGAGAAGTTTACTTACAGTATACCTATATGCTTAAATATTTACGTATTTATTTATTATAATATTCTAGTACTCATGCTACCGTATAGTACTATATAAATTTGATATAAACCTTTCGCGCATTACGCTATAAATTTATATCTACATATGCATACGCACTATAATGAGCCCCATCGCGTTGCTAATGCTGACAGCTCCATTATTAATTAATTAACATCTTATAAAACCATCGAGATATACTATTTGGAGAGGTTTACTTAATGTATACCTTTAAACTTAAGGCTGAAACGTTTCCAACACTATTATCACCATAGGCAACCAGCTCGTATCAAACACTACAGCATTGTTCCATGACGTCTGTCCGTCCAGATTTGGCGGGAAATTCGCTACGATTTGCACAGTGTATTTTATCCTGCTACAGTACAGCCTTGTACTGTACACTATAATAGTTGGTAAAATCTGATTTCATTCTAAGGGGCAGTCCCTGCCCTTGTTACCGAAGTACTGATTGTGCACCAGTATAGTATTTCGGTAAACTGCTTCCTTGGGCAGCTGAGCTCAATTAGTGGCGGCGATCAGGGCGAGTAGAATAAAAAAGAAAAACAGAAAGCTTTTAGCTATCCTTTAAAGTTGTTGTAAGGCTTCCAAAGTGATCAAGGTATAGCATGCTAGCTAGATTGCAAATTATTAATATTCTAGTAAGCTTATTTAGCTGTGAAAGACTGAAATTAAACTTCGCTACAGGTTTCTAACTGCCTGCTGCAATCGATTGACAGTAGTTCCTCGAGAGGAGTCCTTGATTCTTATTTATCATTGGTCATATTAATTGCTCAACATTAACGGGAAGAATACAAAATCAAGATGAGTTTGTGGGTAGATAAATATCGACCCACATCGTTGTCCAAATTGGATTACCATAAGGATTTAGCAGAACAGTTGAAAAATTTGGTAAGCTTGCAATGCTATAAAATTGAATTGATCCCATTGCAGAACGACAGCGGGCAGGTTCACCTGCTATAAATGGAGGCAATGTTGATCCTTGGACTTTCTACTAGGACAATTTCACATCATGCATTCAATTATAGTATGTTTTATGAACGTACCCTTACGATAGTTGTAAGAAGTTGTCAAGATGGCGTTACCATCAATGACAAGTTCTATACGTTAACATGATACAGAAATTATGCAGAGTGGCATTAACTGATTGATTGATTGTTATGCCAATTGACTAGAATATACGGTATTGTGGAGCTTAAAGTTGCATTTGCAGGTTTCAAGATTTACACTACTGTATTCAAATAGATCAGCGAGAGATAATGGCATGTTAGTATACTTGAATCAGCTATAATTAACATACAATACTTTTAGATAACAAATTGCCACAAACATGCTCTAGAGCTGGTAAGAAATTCTTCAAGATATTATGTGCCTATTAATTCTATTTCGTAATTGTCCTGATTACTTAGATTCAGAGTGGGGATTTTCCTCATTTACTATTTTATGGACCATCTGGAGCTGGTAAGAAAACCAGAATCATGGCTATGTTAAGGGAATTGTATGGTGCTGGGGTTGAAAAATTGCGAGTAGAACATCAGACATTTGAGGTAAAAAGCGAATATATTCACCTGTATCATTTTTGCTAGCAGGAAATGATTACTTACAGGTTAGGCTATCAACTAAATTTGTTGGCTTATATTCATAATACTGTAGTCTTAACTTCTGCATCCTAAAAATTTAAATTCTCAGTGAATTTGCTAAAAATCTATTGCTAGGATGAAGAGCATTGACTACAGCTATTCTTGTACTATCTTAAAATCGAAACATCGTTATTGATGTGTTATTGTAATTTAGACCATTTACGAAGACAATTTATACTTATTTGAACGATCTGAATGAAATAGATTAATATAATACCATTTCTTTCAGACACCGTCAAAGAAAAAGATTGAAATAACAACAGTAGCCAGCAATTACCATATTGAGATTAATCCAAGGTAATCTGTATTCGAATGTAATTCTAGCAATACCGATAAATACGACTGGATGATCCATGTCAGCCTCATTCTTCATTTATTTACTGTATTATCATTTCTGAAGATCTAGAGTTATAGTAATTACGTACATTCGTCAAGATTTTGTATCTAACTGCAGACGTGAGGCACTACCTGACCTAATTTCGCTTTTATTTTGCCTTTTCTCAATTCTGCACAGCGATGCGAAAAATAACGATAGAGTTGTCATTCAAGGGATGATCAAATCTGTTGCACAAACCCAACAGTTAGATGCCATTTCACAAAAGAATTTTAAAGGTGCATTCAGATAATGACTAATCCTTTCTCACTAAATTATCCAACACTAAAGAGTTTTTGCATTTTATTGCATTTGTATATGGCCTACAGTTATCGTGGTCATGGAACTGGATCGATTGACGAAAGATGCGCAGCATGCCTTAAGACGAACTATGGAAAAATATATCTCAACGTGTCGATTGATACTATGTTGCAACTCTACTAGTAGGGTAATACCAGCAGTTCGAAGTCGTTGTCTAGGGATACGCGTTGCTGCTCCAACTGCAGATGAGGCACGTAGATAATTGATTTTAACTATATTTGGATAATTTTATGGTGAATTTTTAGGCTTAGGCTCATATGTAAGGACCTCAAGACGATTGTAACGTTCTGTTGGAACTAGAATATTGATTGCTTGATTATGTCAACGATTTACCTCAATAGATAACCCAAGTATTGCATGGTGTCTGTAAGAAAGAAGGTTTAACATTGAATCAAGAATTGGCCGTTCGCATAGCGGAACAATCGAAAAGAAATTTACGAAGAGCACTGTTAATGTGTGAAGCATGTAAAGTTCAACAGTAAGTTCATCGATACTATTCGAGATACGGTATACCGTAAAGTTTGCAACTTTGGTATAAGACTTTATGTTTTACATGGCCTGCAGGTATCCTTTTACACCAGATCAGCCGGTATCTGAAGCAGAATGGGAAATATATTTGCGTGAAACGGCGGCAGCAATAGTAGAACAACAAAATCCCAAAAGGTATATTAGTCTATCGCATATACGTAGTCTTGCAGCCGCTGAAAAAGCTAGTAGTAGTAGCATGAAATCGGTGATGCCGTTATTAAATATTGAACCTAACGTGGCTTTATGATTATTAGATTATTAGAGGTAAGAGCTAGACTTTACGAATTACTCTGCCACTGCATTCCACCAGACGTTATTATTAAGGTAAGTTTATTTTATACTCATTGTTAAACGTTAGCGAAATTAGTCTAATACTAGGAATACCTTCCTATTGGACCATTGCTAGATTATGTGAATAGAATAAATATTACAGTATTAAGCCAGCGATGCTAATAATGCCGTATCGCTTTGTCTAACGCAATTGCATACGGCGCTGAGCTAGCGATACATTTGTTTAATAACCACTCTCCTTATCTAGTATCTACCAAAACGTACTGCCGGACAGTACACCCACCGTATAGTCGTAAACTGTAAATCACTAATATGAGCACTGCTTTATCATGACCCAGGGATTATTGTCTGAATTAATCGTGAACTCGGATGGTCAATTGAAGACTGAAATCACAGCCTTAGCAGCGTTCTACGAACATCGTATCCAAATGGGACGCAAAGCAATATTTCACTTAGAAGCTTTTGTTGCCAAATTTATGAGTATCTACAAACGTTTCTTAGATGAAGGGATGGCCGCAATGGATTTTATGTAAAAAAAAAAACCTCATATCTGTGTATAAATTCTTAATAAACTTTATTAATACTTTCAATAAGAACTGTTTGAGGAAAATGTTATTTTCTTGGTCAGCTTAGTTAATTGTATTTGGCGTATACATTTAGGCGTTATTCCAAAATTGATAAAATTAAGCGTACATATATCATGCATGATTGAGAACACATACAGCTGGTTTTAAACGCTGTACGAAACAATATACAAAGTCATTGACAACAAATATTCTCAATGTCTTGAACGTACTTACAGCTTATAATAATATACAACAAAGCAGTTAATATTATTTCTTTATTAGAATAAGATGAAAAATCTTTTGCCGTTATCTTAAAATAGATATTTGAAATTTCCTATAAATGTTTAAAACTTAAGTAATCAAAAGTCCACTCGTACGGACGCTTTACTTACAAGTACTGAATCTAGCTAAGACCTCTGTACAATCACGTAACATTAACTCATATAACTTAAAGTACTGAATAAAACTCCCTTTCAATTTTAAGGGTGCTCAAACGCTAATGTGCCCTGAGCTTTACTGCTAGTAAACAGCGCAGAAAGTGCTAAGGGTCCTACGTTGCTGTTATACGACGACGCTACGTCTTCGGGATCAGATTCAGATGACGAAGTTTCAGTCATCAGACTACCTTGTCGTCGCGTAGGAGCGAACCGGACGACTGGGCGCGAAGGCAGATCTTTATCATTTATCATGGCTGGGAAAAACGTCCCAGTTAAACGTTTATCGATTTCTAAAAGTTAAAATACATTGGTAGGTACAATTAGTAATTAATTAACGGCATCACACGACGCACAATATCGTTTCCCTGGATGATCATTAATATTATTATAAATTACCTTCACTAAGAGTTGCTTCCTTACTTAAATAACCATTTTCCGACACTTTCTGCCGGCACTCTTCCTTCCGCAGGTCTTCTAGTCTACTTTTCGCTTTATGACTACCAGCGCAAGTTGCTTTCCTATATAATGATATAGCTTTTGCTTTATCTACTTTCAGACCTGGAGGTGGTGTAGAACAAAGATACAATAAATCAATTATCATAGTACTGTACAAGCCAAGCAGATTTTTGCGTATTCTATTTACAGTACCTCCAAGACCATTTTCATAGTATTTACCAAGATTGGTTATAGCTCGCACATATCCGCTATCAACGCATGTCTCATACAACTTTCTTGCCTGTACAATCGTAGATAATGCATAATTGAATAAAATAGGATACCCAAAATTTTGAATAATTTAACGAGTCTCACTAACTTCGGTTAAGTCAACTTCTACACCAACACCTTTTTCATAACAGATAGCAAGGTAATATTGCGCTTTAACGTCCTTAAACATAAGATTAGCGACAAATATATAGGTCAGAGTCAATTGAGAGGAATTTCTCAGCATACTAATAGTTACCAATTGATCTGCAGCCATTTTAAAATATTTAACAGCAAGTTCATCGTTTCCTTTGTAATTTCTTCGTTTCAAATAATACTGCCCAAGATAGTATTGAGCCTATGCCAACATAATTTAAAAAGGCACTTTACTAAAGAAGGACAGGCAGCAAATAGTGCGAAGTATTTATAGCTAAATCGCTTACAGAAGCAATTCCTTGGCCAGCAGAATCTTTCAAGAGTTTTATGCCCTGTGTCATACTTTGCTGGCTGTTACCATCTGATGAAAAACACATATGCAATTCAAGTAGCAGTTAGTCAAACAATTTACAATTACTGTACAAGATATACTAGTCCTTAAAGTGAAACTGGACAAAAAAACTTGGATTTTGTAAATTTTATAATTAGTTCTGCTTCTTACTTTCCATTAGATGAATTCCATAATTATACTGGGCTAATGGATGACCTTGCAATGCTGCTCTTTCGTAAAAATCAACAGCCTAATAAGAATGCATGAAAATTACCATTATGATAAGATAGCCAAATGATTACTTCTACGTTCTTTCTAGACCCAGAAATTTTAGTTAAATGATGATTAACTAACCATTTCAATATTTCTTCCAACCCCGTAGCCATGATGGTAGCACAAGCCCATGTTATACTGGGCTTTACTGTAACCTTGGCTACTAGATTCCCTAAAAAATTCTACAGCCTTGAAAATGCAACAGGAATGTATTGAGATAAGATCTAGTCATTCGTTCCCTGCTACAAAGTTAAAGAGTTGTTACTGAATAGTAACCTTTTTATGTTGACCACTTCGTTGCAACAGTATTGCTAGAGCATTTTGACTTGCAGCAGAAGAGTTCTTCATGGATGAGGAAAATTTTCGCATAGCTGCCTCTAAAGAATCCGTCTAGACAGATGAGAAGTATGGCATTATTAAACACTCGTAAGTCAAAAAGTTGACCAATGCTGGGGCGTGCAAAAAGAAACAGTACTAGCTGGTCCTCTTGAACTCACCAGCTTTTTATCGCCAAGATTACTTGTTGATTTCGAAGATTCTTGATCGTCACTGGATAAACTTGTTGGAATATTTGCCGGTAGGACAGAAAGTGTCGCTGCCCTACCAGGTGAAAGACTGCCAAGAGCATGTAGAACTCTACAAAAAGCTATAGCAGAAAGTGATAGCGATGTTCGCTCATCGTTTTTGGATGTATGCTGCATCAATGCATTAGTAACGACGGCAGCCCCCTATGAATAAGAATAGAAGTTTATTCAATTAAATTCTCATATTTTTCTTGTTTTTATCTTTATTTTAACTGGTAAATTAAGACATTAAGATTGCCCTATACATACTATGAAGCCATCATATCCTTGTACAGTAAGTTTTCGAACAAAATATACTATGCGACAATGCAGAGCTATCTTCTACAGTACAACACATCTACGGATATCAAGTACTTTGCAGTTGACTCACCGTCCAAGTGAAAGCTCCAGCAATTTCATCACCGATTTTACTTTGTTCTGACTGGCGAAAATTCTCGTCGGAAGATAAACGATCATTCGGTAAGGGTTGAGGAGAATACGTAAAGTTGGTGCCCAGAAAATTTTTAATGCTGTCTTCTACACGACCTTTGACTGACTTTAACAGATCAAACGATTTCTGACATTGTTCATTCTCGGTAAAATACTTGAAAGCTGGATATAAACGTTCAGATGAATCCCGTTGCGATGAATCTGATTGGAAGTACGATGATCGTTGGGTATAGACCTGACTGATGCAGCGCTTGTTGGCGGAAATAACTATGAGAAGTGAAGCTTAATTATACATCATGTAGACGATAAAAGTTAGCTACCAAGGCAACTGTAGTACAGAATGGTTTCGACTGTTATTCATGCAATAGCGCGTCAATGAATATTTTGGGTACATTACAGTAGCAATCAAGATCTTTATCAAGAATCTTACTTTTATTGAGACTGGTTAGAAAAGACATTTTCTCAGCAAGTCCAAGATGGCGTCAGTTATAAAATTCTTCAAATAATTTTGGTAGCGTAAGCAATTCTCGTATTTGACGTTGTCTTGCAAAAACTTCCGAGTGGAGGATATTGTTACAGCATCTGACAACAGGATCGCTCTTATTCTTGGTTGCAATTGGATTGTAGAATGATTGTACGTATAGTCTCCACAATGTGGTGTATTGCAATTGAGTTTAGGGTACAGGTAATGAATAATGTCTGCCAATTGAAATTGTATGCTAAAAATGATACCAACATGAGCAGATTTTAAAAAATACGTAGTTGTTGATTTAAATAGATACGCATCCATGAGAACCAGATCTTATTCTAATGAATACATATTGTAAAACAACATTATCATTCTGGCTACTAGCACATTACTGCTGTATCCTATATTAGTGCTAGTCGATGAAGACAGGGAGGATGTACATACTCGTACGCACGTTCACCTTGTCCTCTGCTTTACAAGTACTCGTAAGATATTGTTATTGAATTATTTTCTACCTTAATGACGACATTGCACAACGACTGAAGGTTAATGATATTTAAGATGGTAAGTACAAGTTAAAATTTAGAATTCCAAATCACTTGCAATCAATCAATGACTATCGTAGAAATGACGAAGCAGATGTTTGCAACGATTGGCATTGACGGCGCTATCCTAACTTGATACTCAGCATCAAGACAAGTCAACACAAGCACTTTGACTGCTATTTATGGCACTACTATTACGATACTGCAAGATTGGATGATCGATTCTATCGGGTTGGCCGTGATGTTACCTTGGTATAAAATACTCACATTATGCTGAAGAACAACTCCACAATCTGTCGTCATCCATTTGCCGTCTAGACCAAAATTGAAAACAACAACACGATAGACATTTTGCAAGCAGAACCTCGAGGGCTACACCATGACATCACTGCAAGGCCAAGAGCACGTTATGCTGTATGATTGGCGGCTAGGTACAGTACTGTGTACAGTAGAACATCCTGCAGGTTGGGGATACTCTACTGTACTGTGCTCACCATTTGACGTGATATTGAAGCTGGATTGCGCACAAGCTTTACGCAGAAGTTGCATCATCTTTCATGGATTTGTACCGCATTGAGCGACTTCCAATTCCCTGGCATGGAAGTAAAAGCAGACAGGAAATGCACAGCTAACCTAGAATACACGGTGGAATATCAGAACTATATTCAGTACAATCGCTTCTTGTATCCATGCTGTGCTCCTATCTTACTAATGATCGTTATTCGAGGATATTGTACGCACGTACGAGCAATCATTAGTTCAATTGATGTTATTTCCTGGATCGTAGAAGCACACGGACTACAAATTTACCTATCTTACTAATCATCGTTATTTGAGGATATTGTACGCACGTACGAGCAATTATTAGTTCAATTGATGTTATTTTCTGGATCGTAGAAGCACACGGTCACGGACTACAAATTTACCTATCTTACTAATCATCGTTATTTGAGGATATTGTACGCACGTACGAGCAATCATTAGTTCAATTGATGTTATTTCCAGGATCGTAGAAGCACACGGACTACAAATTTACCTAAAGTCAAATCATTTCAGAATCGGTGTTCATGAAGTTTGGAGGTATGCATGTCCACTGTGCAATAGTTGCTGGTCACTCCTACTGTCTTCAACGCCTGTATTTTTTTATTGAACGTACCATCATAACTGCACTCGTAGACTGCAGTGTTTGCTTTTTGTTGAGCAAGCAAAGAGAGAGAGAGAGAGAGAGGGAAGCGAAATCGTCCTCCTCGATCAGCCATAACGACAAACCCTTTTTGCTGGTCATTTCCACTCCCCTGTCAGTCTGTACGTCTGTACCTGTACACAAGTACTATAAGCTACTATAACGATCGATGACAATCAATTGACCAGCCAACTACGTTAGTCAGCTGCCCCTGTAATCAAAGATGTCTTTCTGCTTATAGACTGTAGACCAGAGAGAGAGTTATTTTAGAGAAGAGAACTTTATTACCCTAAGTCAGTCAGGTACAAGTAGAGAGAGAGAGATAGACTGCTATACTGTTCTAGTTGAATTACGTTATTGTTACGTTTCTGTACGCATTATCATCAGCGATCAATGTTAGTAATCGAAGCACCTGTTTAGTGTTCACAATCAGTTCAGTTCGACATCCCAGATTACTATAATATACTGTACAGTTAGGTCTACAGCATTATATACTCAAATTTCTCCTGAAGAGGATACTACTCATTTACAATAATAAAAATGAAATAAATAAAGATACGTTATAGTGTAGGATATCGAAAACTTCGAATAAAAATCGAATCAGACTACTATTGTTAGTGATTATGCATGCGTATATTATTTGCAGTGCGATGTTAGCTCGTTTCTCTATAGAGAATTTCCTATGCATTCCATCATCAACTCAGTTAGCTTCAATATGGACTTTCAGGTGATTATTCGCTACACAAATGTTTTAATTTTACTTCTTTGCTAAATTGTTCGTCATAATCTACAATAGTAAGTAACAATACTGTATACTATACAGCCTGAGATTGAAGAAAATACGGGTACATGGTACAATGCTGCAGCCCTTGGACAGAAAATCATAGCACTGTTTTAGGGCGAATTTGAGACAGTCCCATATTAACGTAAGCGCAAGGATCGGATGAGGGATGCATCACCAAGGTAGAATATCATGTTATCCAACCTTAAGATTGCGGCAATGGAAGAGATTTCAGGCTTTCATACCGTTGTAGGACAGATATACCCTTAGTTAGACGTAGGGATGAACAAGGCAACTAGCTGAATGCTGTACGTGTGTTGTAATTGTATTGCTTGCCCAATGTCTGTACAGCATTGCAGAAATAATACAAGCAGATACGACGTAGTTATCATTTCCATCATTGCATAACCATACACGCATAAAACAGAGACCTAGACAGTAAGATGCATATACGGGTACAACAGGCAATGACCTGCTTCTTGAACAAAAATGGTCAATTTTCATGAATCCTTTTTGTAGGAATTGGAAGAAGGTTGATTTTTTTCATGGACTAATGTCTGAATAGTTCATCTATTTAAAATCTTCAACCATCTCATGAAACAAGGGATAGATGGCCGATGTCTATCCTATTTGGTTGATACGAGAGCGATTACAATAAATTGAAAAGAATAAGATCACATAGCACATCTCTAAAATCAATCTTATACGCCTACTTACATACATCCTAGTTGAATAAGAATACTAAAACGTTGGCTTTACTAGACTATTTAACTACCAATTGAAAACAAAGTCATCGTATTACAAATCTCCCAAACTGTTCTTATGTATGTTGCTATAATTTATTTAGAATGACATTAAAATTAATACTAGCATACTAACTTCCAACCGATTCAACGGGAAGCTATCACATTACACATATTTAAAACCTGTACAGTACATTGCTATATTCTAGAATAAGAACACCAGAGAGTTTATACTGCCCATACTAAATTCCAGCCGATTAAAAGGAAAGTCTACATACTACACTTTTCTAAAAACTATCCTTCAAGCTGCTCTACTCTAGTTGTAAAAACACGAGAGACCAAATGCTAGCATCCTTAATTTGAACCGATCAATAGCAAAAGCATCACATTTTATGCATTTCTAAGTAAATGTCCTTCATGTTACACTATTTTAAAAAACTATCCTTCAAGCTGCTCTACTCTAGTTGTAAAAACACGAGAGACCAAATGCTAGCATCCTTAATTTGAACCGATCAATAGCAAAAGCATCACATTTTATGCATTTCTAAGTAAATGTCCTTCATGTTGCACTATTTTAGTTATAATGAAGCGCGCAAGAGCGAAAGCTAATACTACTATACTGACTTTTAATCGATTGGAAAGAAAACCATCACGTCGCACATATCTGAAATCTGCCATATATGTTACTATATTGTAGTTAGAATAACACTAACGAGTTAATACTACCGTACTATATTAAATTTCAATCGATTGAAATTGGAAATCATAATATTGAAAATATTGAAAATCGATCATCTAGTTTGATACATTCCTAACATCATAACGCTAAAGAATTAGCACTACTATCGTTGTTGATTTAGCTCAATTATACAATCAACTCAAATAATTAGTGCCACCAATCAGGATATCTGTTTACTTATCAAGCCCAAATGGAAGTCGTAAATTACTAATAGAAGTAACAGTATCTCATTAACGTCAGAAATAAGTTAATTAACTATTTGTACTACTTAGTTCAATTTAATCCAATAATTCCGCCACGTGATACCAATCAAAGCATTGGTATGCAATAGTAGAATCTAAAATCCTGTAAATTATCTTATTGTCGTTGCAGTGTCTAATACTGTTCTAATTAGAATAATTTTTCGTTAAGCTATACGTCTAACCATCACGTCATCTATAATTTCTGCGTGTTTTTCATTTTCCTTCAAAAAGTTTCCTCTTTCATGAATTAGATATTGGTTAAGCTTTGGCAGTAGTTAAGCTGAAATTCCAGAAACAACGCGTAAGTTTCCTAACGATAATAATCAGATGAAATAACTAGTTGCTGTCGCATTAAAATGTAACCAAGAGAAAAGTAAATCACTTTCATCTTATCATAACTATAATTAATTAATGGTTTGAATGTAAGCCTTTTAACTTGGCGTATCAAACGTTTGATCCATATACGATAATAGCAATCGTTATCAATTCCCAAGCAATTAGTTACTCTTATAAATAATCAATGTAAAGTAGAATCTCAATTAATTAATGACAGTTTTGAAGATTGAAAGGATTTGATTCACTGGTAGATTGAAAGCTATTAAAAACATTTTTAGAGTTGTATTTTTCAACCCATTTAATCAACGAGCATATAGAACATGGCCTACCACAGCCTAGGTAGTTTTCCAGTAGATTATCACTAAAAGAATTAATTTACTATTAAAATAGTGAACTTGTAATTTATTTAAAGATTTTATCATTTATTAACTAGTTATCAATTACCGATAGACCTTCATAAATCTCGGAATAAATACCCAATTTATTGTTTTTATTAACGTAAGGGATTGCTACAGGATAGAATAATGTTGTAAAGCAACTTTGACTTTATCCTGGACGTCTAAAATGTATTCCCTATTAATCGCCTGCTATGTATTCATATTTTATGCGTTGCCTTGAATTCAATAATAATTATATAATCAATCATTATTTCTAGCAGCTTCTAGTTAACTAGATGAATAGGGAAGGCTTTGACAGCAATAAATCAGTAATTACAAGGCATATACTATCTTCATCAAATCGCATTACCCGTTGATGATAGTAATTAAACTATTACTTATATAAGATGTCTGTAAATGATCATCCACGTTTCTAAATATTATATCAATTTACTATACCAAATCTAATTATAGAAATAGTAGCATCAACGCACGTTTAAACATATTTTTAACTCTCGTTTATTTACTCAATCAGATTTGTAAAATTTTAATGAAACCTTAGCAGCTGTACATTATGAGTAAATAACCATGAAAAATATTATCTTCCGCATCTCTTATTACAGAATGAATTGAACTACCGTATGCATTTGTTAGAAATTCACAATATTTCCAACGATATTACGGGATGTTATAGCCATCATCATAAATTGGATGAGAAATTTTAATGCCAGCTGGCACTTTTAGTAGCACGAAATATTAATTATTTCACGTGTAAAGTACATTTTATTTCGAAATAGATTCATTTACAAGATATCTTTTTCCAATCAATGATATTCTTCTTTTCATTATCTACCACTCTATATGATGTTCTATTTTTGCTTTGGAATTTAAACTGATATTTCAATTATTTTTTACACTTCATTTCCCCGTATCTTCTGTGATGATTTATAGCACTTTTATCCTACGGTGTAATCCATAATCATTTACACAGTTTATCATTTCTTTATGCTTTACGGCCTAGGTTAACTTCAGTATTATTATCCTAGTTATATTCGTATAAGATACCGCAATGTCTCTGAATCCAATCAATAAAAGCGTCTTTGACGGCCTTGATGAACCTAAATCAGAATCAGGATGCACTTACTGCTGTTGGACTTGTGTAAGACTGAAACTGACTATTTATTTTATGAACATCAATTCAATCAATTTAATGATGAAAATTGGCTTAACTTAATGTCACAATAGTAAAGTATTTTTATATGATTTAATCAGAATGAAGATAAAGATGAAACCATTAGGTTATTAAGCGGTGGTGAAGACTTTTTCGGTCGCCGTCGTGGTTTAACAAGATATGATGTTAAAGATGAAGAATTACCACCTAAAGATGTAAGTTATTCTGACTTGTTTCACTGGCTATTATTCTGTTGAAACACTGCCATCGATCATAATGGCATAAAGAATGTATCTTTTAATATTGCTATTTTGTTATCAACTGTAGCAGCAAGGCATTTCATAATTAATGATTTACGTCTGCTCCTTTCTGAGCCCATATACTATAAATCAAAATAAATCCTATTTCTAACTATGAAATTATTGCATTAGGTTGTATCAGACACATTAAAGAAATCTCTAGGCGCTGGCTATTTTGGAACAATCCATGATTTGCCTTACGATGAAGATCACTATATATTTAAGTCCTGGGATTTAAATGTAAGCCACCAATCTTTTATTATACTTCTATTATTATCGTAATTATTACTACCGTCATTCACTTTTAACTTTTATATTCCTGCTTCATATTCACGTTTAATGAGATCATTTAAATTATTTTCAAGGTTATACCATTTGATCATGAATCTAATAAAGATGAAATAAAACAAAGTGTCGATAAGCTGAAAAGGTGACTTATATAGCTAAAATTGATATGATCGTGTGATTTCTTGCATATTCCACATGTCATCTATTAGTCTTTGCTTACTATTCCAATTTCTTGTATTCTCATAGCTTCCACTTTGATCATCTGGTTGAAATATTTGCATATTACCGTGATTTTGAATTCCATGGCGTACTAGAAGAATATTGCTCAAGTAGTTTATATAAACGCATAAAATCGGTACGACTAAACTAGTAATGGAAATATATTAAACTTTCCTTTAATACAAATACAAGAACGATATTTCCCGCTTTCTTTATGTTTTGCTGGAGTATTTTTGGGATAATAAGGTTAAAATTGATATTTTCTACTTAAATAGAGAGATGATCAAATTCTAACATGCCTTCAAAGATTCTCCATTTTAAATGAAATTTTAGATGGCCTTCACTATCTGCATAGTAATAAAATTGTTCATAACAATTTAACAAGGTAAAGACAAATGAGAAACATAACATTAGTTTATGGCTAGTAATTATTTGAAAGATTTAACTATGGCATTGTTCTCGATAAGTTATATATTCATCCAAGGAATCTTGTAAACTTTGAACTCTTATCTGCTCGTTAATCTTAATTTGATTAGTACTTCTTATTAATCAATACTAGTCGGAATGTTCTTCTTAATGGTTCCTCTTACATTACCACAAAGCTAAGCCATGGTGGCTACTATAGTTTATTACCCTATGTTAATAAGGGTATGAAAGATTGTGATGAAGATACACTAGCAAAGCAAGGGAAACTTGGATACATTTCCACTCAAGCTTTCGATGGCAAAGTGATTTCATCAAATGATGTTTATAGCTTTGGTGCAGTAAGTTATTTCTAGATACTTATAAAATCATATGTGAATAGTCAGGTTAAAGATTTAATAGTACTAAAGTGTTTAATCGAAATTTTCCTTTAAAGCGTTTTCATATTTTCGCGCTAAGAAAGTTACAAAATTGATATTACTTATTCATAACTCTTCCTTAAACTCTAATGGCCTATTTTATAATCTTCCACGTAAGATTTTAATTGTCATGATTAGTGGCGATGAACCATATTTGCCTGATGATGATCCACAATATACAGTAAGTCGTCGTTTGTATCCTTGCAGATGCAAATTTAAATATTCGCTTGCTTAATTGATTTCTATTTTAAAATTTTGCATGAATCGTGAAGAAGTATACTTACAATTCATATAATTTATTGTGGTTTAAAACAGTCTATGTGTAATCGGCTTATAATAAATGTCCTTGTGCTATTTGTGATATATGCATTAAAATATAGTTGATGTCAAAGTGATCACTTGTAATTTTATGCTCTGCTCTAGCGTGATTTATTATCGGATCATCAGCAATGGAATAATTGGAGATTGAAAGATAGTAAAATTAAATGGGCAAAAAGAAAATTTACAGTAACTAAAAGAACTTTTCGAAGAGATTTACTTTCTTTGGCCAATTATTGTTTACATGATGACGATCTAGAGAGACCAAGTTTAGACTGGGTATACACGTATATACCAATTAAGAATATTTTAGAGCAATAATTCTCTAAATTTATAGATGGCTCTATAAATTATATTGACTAACTATGTTTTCCATTTCTTGATCATTAATTGTTGATTATAGATAAAAATGCAATTTAATAGATTGAAGAAAATTTATTTCAAAAAGAATTAGCCTTAAACTCGGTAACCTAAATTAAATTATAGTAAATTTTTTATTATTTTTCTTCTAATTAAGTTAAATTATATCCCAGAAGCAAACAGTTTGATCTTATTTAAGCCTTTCTGTATAAACCACTACTTTGCAAACTAAAATATACGTTGGCGAACCTTTTAAGGATTAAAAAATTAACTATGATGCTTTTCACTATCCAGTACTTTTATTTTTAAAATTTGACTATGTTAATAATAGAATGACGGCTATGACATGCTAAAGTAAATTGAAGATTGTAAGTTTATTTAATTTTAATCTAACTTATGTCAAACAATGGAATATTGCAGAGATTTGAAAGAATTCAAGAATGATTACGAAGTTGATTGCAAATTCAATTCCATCTAGGCATAACCAGAGTAGTGGCTAAATGAAAGCACAAACTATAAGGATACTAATGTCAGTAAATAAAAAATTGCGGAGTATATACCTAATTCGGCATTTCTCAAGCTTTAATTATCCTATTCCACTTTCCCATTTACTACCACCTATATTACCAATAAAGTGATTGGCTTAGCGAAAGATATGCCAGTTCTAGATCAAAGCTATATCATAGTAACGGTTTCTTTCCTATCATCTATTACTAGTATCATTTAGTAAACTGTAACATTTTTATGATATAAACGTTAAGCATATCGGCAATTTACCGATAGTTTAAAATTTCAAACATAAGATACTAACGTGGATATCAGAATAAATAGCAACTACATAAATTCATTCATGATAGTTGGAGATGCTGCCCCAGACCTGTAAACTGTTGTTAATTACCATTCTAACTTATTCGTAGGTTGTAATTCAAATTCACCTCGCTGGAACTTATATCCAGATAAAAAATATGCAATAGAGTAATAGCTCTATGAATAATTTTACTGATGTTTGCGATACAGTTCTCTCGTATTATTCTGCTATATACTTCTTCAAAAACTTTCTGCAATTTATATATTATGGTCTCTGTCAATAATATCCAGTTTACTTGTATAAATGATGGTATTTATTGTCATCATTTCTACTATGATACTGTATAATAATGTAGACTTAAATTGATATATTATTGCTGAGATTTTAAATTCCGAAAGTAATAAAGTATGAAATATGTAAAATAATCTTATGGCTATTTACAATGTATTTCAATATATTTTAGTGGTGTATACTTCTGTAAATACTTGCTGCAATAGATGTAGCATGATATCTATCGCCAAGATAGTTTCCCGGCCATTTAAGAAAGACATTCTTGATGAATGATTGTAACTTAGAGATAAATATCGACCAAAATTTTAGCATTAATCTTTGTTTTAAACAGTCAAAAATAGGATAACTTATTAGAGTAGATTTGTGAGATTCGATATGCGATAAAATTAGATTAGAAAGTACTGTACAAGTACTACATATATAGCATTTACTCAAATTACTGGAGTAGACTTACGAAATTTAGCATTGGGCTTCATTTGCTTTCATGATATTGTAATGGGCGTATATTATCATGAAACTTATTCAAATTGTTGAGGTAAACTTATAGTACAGTATTTAGTCTTGGATGTCATTATTGGAAAGTACTTTACAATGCTCTAATCTCCCAGAAATTTGTGAAACTAAAATACTACGAAAACAGTAAAAAATGCTACTACTAAAAGATATTTGAACAAAGTTGCATAGATAACCTGGCAATTATATGAAGTTTTACAATTATTCCTGTACTTTGAGCTGTCTTCCTGCTTTAATCGATGCCTTAATATATATATAATACTATCGCTTCGGTTATAGTGAGGCAAATTTAGTTAAAGTGCTAAATTGTTGGCAAATGCTAGGATCATATTTAAGCGGTACCTTTTATATTCTCTTAAAATTCTTCAAGTACATCATTCTTCAAGTGGCCGAATCCGAACCAATTCTAGGAAATTGTCCTAGTGCTGTAGAAAATTGTATAGGAAGGCTAATTTTTGCGTACCGCTTTTGATTACTATTTTGAATCGACAGTATGCGTATTGCAATTAATTAAAATCTATATGTATATCTGATGTAATAATTCAAAATTGTTTTATGTGTACGAATACTGTAGCAGAATGTTATTGTAGCCATCATCCAAACATATTTACACTTGCACACCTTTAATATTTGAAACATTACTACAACGGTAGCTTTGTAGTCGTTACGGTTGTCAGTTGATAATTTGTTCCTCTTCCTAAAGTTATCCATATTCGTTAGATGTAAATTGGAATTTATTACTCAATTGATAGCAATAATTCGAGATTTCTGAATATTCTATCGATATCCATTAACGTACTCTGGCTGTCTAGGTAGATATTACACGTCATAGGTGAATACACAAGAGGCTAGTTTATATTGCTAATAATAATATCAAAGAAAATGGAATGGATAGAATTGTAGATACGATACTGTGTTAGCTCATTAGGCAATGCAGTTGTAGCATATGGAAAGAATAGTAACAGTTTTACTGCATATTTATTCTAGAAACGATTTAAGCTAAGCGCGCAAGTTTGCAGCTTGGATTTTAAGACATTTTTATTGGAATTCTACAGTAATTTTAGCAAGTTCTATATCTACTGCAGTTGAACTGTGTCAACAGAAGGCACCAAGACTACATTTTCGACTGCTAGTTCACTCTACTTCGCTTTTTAATTATAATTAAGTATTGAGTATATTCTGCTTAATAATATTCACTTGCTACTGTATGCACAATTAATTGATTCCATCAAAACATGTTATGCCGAAAGACAATACTACCCATTAATCCCTTTGATACTGTATGCATGAATATATTATACCATAGTTGCTGAGTAATGCAATCTAGCAATAACAATTCGGTTCTTGTCCGTACACGTATAATAATTATGTAGTCATCTCCTGTGCATCAATATTGTGGCGTGTCCTAGCTGCAGCGTATATATACATGTCATTAAAACTAAACTAATATCGGCAGCTACAACTTAATAAACTCTTCCAGTCGGCCTATCTACGCGTCGAAGGATAGATCGATTCGGCCAGATTGGTCTCAATCTAGACGGCATGCTAACGATATCGTAATAGCATACAGCAATAGATCAAAGTAGCTTAATTATTCGATATCAATGTTGGCCATTCGCCCTTGCCCACCATAGGAAATCGAGCTGATGAAATCGGCTAGCGCTCACTTTACTGTATTCCCAATTATCTGAAACAAGCTGCTTTCCTCTCTACGTTAAGAAATAAGATGAAATCATTAGGCGCTAACTTGTTGCAAGTTATCATATGACTATCATGTTATTACTAAATTATCACGTGACAAAGTGGATCCGCGATCATTAATTTAATTTAATTAATTTAACCATTATAATCATGATTGCAGATTAATCAATAAATGGAAGAATAATATTGTAGATGCAGGGATGAACAATGTCCACGTTGAAAAGAATTACAAAATATTAACATCGATTGGTTGCTACATTTCATAACAACTATTATCATCAACAAAAGTTGTATAGTATCGCGGCGATCTGCCACTAGGTCTTTCAAAAGGCGCTAATATGTCAACATGTTCAAGGAGATGGAAAACAGTCAATAATGTAATCAAACACGAAAAAACACCATTTTCCTCTTCAAGTTTTTACATCGATTCTATATATATTGCTTTTCTTTCAAGTAAACGTTGATAAGCTCTTCGGAACTCAACTATTGCAATATTCATGAAATTGCTGTTGATGTCGAACAATTTCAAATGGCGCAGTGCACGTTAGGGACGAATGTAGACAAGCGATGATAGAATGCGCTCGCAGTAGCTGTGTACAATTAATAGAACACGGAGAAGCTTGATCGATTGGGAAATTAAACATGTTATCCAGTACTGCGTCATTAGCAGAAAGAAACTTAAGAAAGAAATTCCAGTTGAGCATTTGCCTTTAGGCTTTATTAGTTATTCCAATGGCATGATGTATAGGTGGTAGACAGCGTTCGCATAGCAAATTACGTCATGTTAACGTAAAACAATACACAAATAATTTAATTTTTCAATTCTGATGATCAAAGCATTGCCGCTGCTATTTCTATCATAACAGAGGAGAGAATCTAGCTCGAATGATAGAATTATCGATGCCTCGATTTTGCAGGGTGCATCATCTGTGTAGAGCCAAGATAACTCGCTGTAACTCTCTTTTGGAATTAATAAATTTCCTTTGCAGATCGTGGCCGTAGTTTGCACGTGTACAGATTAAAATGGCCCAAGGAGAATGTGGCCATAATTTAATTTAAATGGCACATCAGTAGAGTGTGGCCGCAATTTAAATGGCCCTAATCAAACATGACTATGATTGAAATGATCCAAGTACTGCAGATGATGGTTATGATTTAAGTTTCCCAAGTAAAATGTTACCACGATTTAAATAGTCAACGTAAAGTATGGCGATGATTTAAGCGGCCCAAATAAAATGCGGCCACGATTGATTGCTTACTCAATGCACAGTAATCGTCTTGAAATCAATCATTGGATCACGCCATTCTTGTGTACAAGCTGATTAATGTACTCTTCAGTTCCATGGTACAGCAGAAACCATCCCTTTTTAAGGATCATTTGTTAGAGAATAAACTGCCATACTGTTCACTATCAATGCACTATATATTCTACAGCAAGTAGGAGGAGTTTAATGGCATTGCTAATTAAAAGAAATGTTTATGCTTTAATCTTAATTGATGATAATAAATGCTTACGGATAATAATTTTAACCGAAACTAAAATGCCATGCACTATCCATATGCAATCTATAAAAGAAGTTGAATGACAAGGTTGATAGACTCCATTAATTTGTAATGCTTTTAATTCGAATAGGAGAGTAATAAGGGATAATTGAATTAAGTTCATTTTCATGCAGCCATTAGCAAAGGATCGCAAGGCTGTTGTTGCAAATATACAGTCACTACCTGTAGCTCAGTAGGTTATCATGAGCTAAATGAGCCGTTAATGATATCCATGATGATGTTGCTAGGTGGTTTTTCAGTAATATTATGGATGGATACAACGGTGCCATGACGATGTCGATGGGACGAATAGGATTATAGATTTTAGACTGGACACGAAGGCACGTATCGAACACTTGGCAATCTAGTATCGCTGCGGGAATATTTACCCTCCAGCTTTCAAATCAATCACAAGAACTAATTAATTGAATTAATTAATCCATCGCGGGGCTAAGCACATCTTGCAGCGAACTTACTCTGTCATAACGTCATTTTCCTCATCCATTTTGTTGATCGATTGCCAATTGATTGATTGATCGATCAAGGAAAAAATTATTCCTCTACGTTGGATGAGCCCATCCTTAAATCAGAGTCAAGCGTGGACAGCATAGCATGCGCAACGATGGAGGAATAGGTCATGGTAGCAAATCATCGGCTAGAAATTGCGTTGACAAAGTAAGACAAGAAAGGCTCCTCTTGCCTCTGTAAAATTCCATTTTGTCATTATTGTTGATTTCTACCTATTTATATACGGACTATTGAAAGAAAAATAATGACAACTACAGTAGTAAAATTAAAAATAGAGTTGAGGAATAGCTCATGGTAGCAAATCATCGGCTAGAAATTGCGTTGACAAAGACAAAAATGGCTCCTCTTGCCTCCGTAAAATTCCGTTTTATCATTATTGTTGATTTCTACCTATTTATTTACGGACTATTGAAAGAAAAATAATAACAACTACTGTAGTAAAATTAAAAATGGGGTTTTAGCCTGATGAAACTGACTATAGTGATATCATTTTCTACAGTCTGTTCGATTGCAGTAAATAGAAAGCAGTTAGTCGATGATGGCTGCAACAAAGTCACGTTGGAAGAGAAAATGAGCTCATTATTATTGCAAAATATCCGATCGTAGTCGAGTTCTTTCTTTTCTTGTTCTAGCGGTGAGCTTAGATTCATAACAATGTCTAATTGCAGTATAGTAGTAGATTTTTTGCTCGGATAAAAACAGTTCATCGTTACCTAATTTTGAATTAGATTATATAGAAAATAGTACGTGCATGACGAGCTATAACGACAGTATAATGGAATAGGTCAGGTTGGAAGAGAAAATTAAATTATTACTATTGCAATATATCCGATCGTAATTGAGTTCTTTCTTCTCTTGTTCTGTCGATGAGCTCAGCTTAATCACAATGACCAATTGCAGTAGTAGAATGTTTGTTGTGATGAAAATAGTTCATGGCTGTCTGATCGGTAGAGCATCTAAATTTGAATCGGATTATACTCGTATATAGCAAACAGTATTTCGATGATGAGCCACCACTTATAATGTGACAAGACAGGTTGGAAGAGAAAATTAAATCGTTTCTGTTCTGAAATATCCGATCGCAATTGAGTTCTTTCTTCTCTTGTTCTATCGATGAGCTCAGGTTAATAATATTGACAAATTGCAGTATATTCTGTCGTAGAATTTTTATTGTGATGAAAATAGTTCATCGTTACCTGATCGGCACAGCATCTCATTTCGAATTAGATTATGTCGAAAATGGTATGTCGATGATGAGCTGCAACTACAGTACAACGTAACAAGTCATATCGGAAAAAATTAAATTATTGCTCTTACAAAAATATCCGATCATAGTCTTGTTCTTTCTTCTCTTGTTCTGTCGATGAGCTCTGATCCATTACAAATTGCAAAATCGAACTTCTTGTTCCGTTGAAAACAATTTGTAGTTTTCTATTTTTGAATTAGATTATATAGCAACGCAGTTATCTATCTATGATGGCTATGTTGTACAAGAAAATTAGATTATTTACTGTTACAAAATGTCCGATCATAGTCAAGTTTTTTCTTCTCCTGATAATTAGCTCAGGTTAATAACGTGATGAACCTTTTCTAAACATGAATCTCATTTTTTCCAGGGGAGACTCAGCAATTCATAAATAATCCACATGGATGATAGCGATCAAGTTCAAGAGCAAGGCTCCGTTTTCTGCTGCTGTTTTACTCTATCCAATAAGGTAACTTTGATAAGCACCTTGAAGTATGACTACTGAGCTAGAAGAGAATACTGTAGGATATTTTTCTGCCTTTATTGATTGATTTAATGAATACGCCATTGAAATACTCGTATGCTGACCTTTGTGCAGTATGCTATGGCTATAGGATATCATTTCCTTGCAGGCCAGATACTTTATGGATGCCAACAGCAGATTGTGCCATGATGGCGCTATCGTAATAAAAGAATGAAATTTAATCATGACATGTCGTGATTACCCTTCCATAGGGCAAGCACATTGCTCTGCCTATGGCGCAGTAGAGTAATCTCTTTGCAGTACAGGCTTAAGTCAATAATTAAATAATTATTTAAGAGTATATAATTAATCGATGTTATTGATATCAGCAAATTGCTCCTTAAGTACTTTGGCAGATTGCTATCGAAAAGTAATTGACAAGTGTATTATCGTACTTTATGCTATACGAGCAAGTTAATGCCTTGGCTAGCAAATGATTCTGTTTAATTGTAAACGTGAGATTAAATGATAGAACTTACTGTTGTTTCGTCGAAAAAGAATGATCTTGCTAAAGGCCACCGTTTATTAATTGTCAAAAGAGAGCGATTGCAAATTGATATCACGTCAAAATGGGCACTTCCAGAGAGTTCATCAAATATAAGACTTACAACAGTAGGAAAAATTTTGTGATGTAGTACTACTGTAAATTGTACTAAGATTGCCTGCTGCAATAGGAAGAATTCTCGAATGTTGTCAATAGTTGTTCATTGAATAAGACCTGCTACAGTAGAAAGAATTCTCTTGCTAGAAGCCGTAATTCTACATTTTACCAAGATAGCAAATTGTAATGCGCTATCTACAGCACGTCGATAAATCGTTCCAAGCTACTGCAGAAAATGATTAATCATTCCCCTCTACGCCGCAGCCTTCAAACTCAATACTTTACTTACAGTAGAATAGGTAATGCTTATAATAATGGGTTGCTTTAAATTCATTGGTATATTCTTTGGGAAAGTGATTTCATAACAATTTTTTGCCATTCTCAGTAGAACATAGCAATGCTCATATTTTATTCTTTTCGATCAATACTGTACTGAGAATGGACTACTGTAACTCTGATATTATTAGGTTGTGCATCAAACTTTCTGCCATTAATACTGCATTATCATACAACGTATTCTAAAATTCAATCAATTCTTCTTCTTAAACTCGTTACAAAATACTACAGCTAAACGATATATTCAGAGACCAGTAAAAGAGAGCACTATTTACTTTGAGCAACACGTATAAGTCGATCTTTTAGACTTTCTACTAATTTAGAATGCTTGTAGCTCTTCGTTCAGATAGGATCAAGGAAATGTCCTCCATCAAAGTCTTTGATTTCAGTCATCCGCACAAAATCTAACCTTATCTTACTTGAGCCTGATGTTGAAAATCTTGGCATTACTACAGTATTGATAATTAATGTAAACTACTTTCAAGAGATTAGTGATATAATGTAGCTTAACGTAGATCAAAGTGAGTATCATCAGCGAACATGACTTGAAATGGACTAATAGTTTAGAGATTTGATCATCGATTCCTTAAGCCTGTTCTGTGCACTCGTAAATTGCATTCTGGTTGGAAGCAGTTTGAGCCCATGAAATTGTTGAATTATACACAATAGCTCACTGAATCTGCCTTATCCTAGTCTTGGATCATTTCATTTAATCAGCGTACCTTATCTTAATCTTAGATTTCTAGAAAGAACAGTTGCAGTAGTCATAAAGGTGGAAAAGTTCTTGTGTACAGCCTATTCTGCGTGTTGTTCAATAGCAATCTGATCAAAAGCAATTTGGGCACGATTTTACTGAATCATAGACAGGGTCTTATTTAATCTACCTTATCCTTCTACAGTATTAACTTGACGATCAATCCATTTATATTATAGAATCCTGAGCAAATTGGTGAAAGAACCAGACTATTGACTGCTCAACCTGTACCCTCCAATCTTCTTGGACAAAATGAAAATAATCAGGAAAAGAATGATCCCGCTACGTTAGAAAATACCTCTCCGGAAAATCCATCTCTATCAACTCATCATAGCAGAACTAGCGATGAATCAGTCACCACTGCTTCTTCTAGAAGTTCATCTCTATCTCAGATCTCAGATCGTCTAGATGGTCAGATCGAGACTAGAGAAGAAATAAATAACGTTAGCCTGTTTAAGGTTAGTAAGAATTTCATCTTCAACGAAAAGATGGGAAATACAACGGTCGAGATTTGCCTGCGAGTATTTCCTATCGTATTCTCCTATTATATAGAGCCAGTGTTTGTCATTCAAAACTGATTACTCGTTATAATTATGCATGATCTCAATTTGATTTGCAAAACTTCTGACCAATTTGACGTGTATCTTGACATAATTATTGAGAAAGATATTGAGTCACTGTGCACTAATTTCAAAAACTCTCTTGAAGCAATTAGATTATATAGTATCAACATATTTACCGTACAGCATCATCTTAGCTACTCAACTCATAAATAACCGAAAGAATAATCTTCATCTTATCATTTTAAATATCACCATGATGGTATTTAAGGGTAATCGGTTAAACTCTCTTTCCAGTTGATTCTTGACGCCCTTAAATTACCACAAAATGAAGGCTACTTTGGTAAAACTTGTACTGGTATTGAACATCGTAATCGACGTTATGTATTTAAGCAATGGAATTATCAGGTTGTAAAGAAGTAACTCAGCTGTTGAAATGCAATTCTAATTACTTATAGCCATGTATTCATACCTGAATTATCCAATAGAGTAATAAATAGACCATCGACTTAGAGACATTCATTTGGTTTGTAATAACACAAATTTTTACCGTGCTAATTCTTCAGATTGTTCTTAAAGCGAAGCAACCACTTGAAGAAGGTGCAAGGATTTTAGCAGGGTAACCTCATTTATAGATAGATTTACTATTGCTATCAGGCATTTCGAATTAAAATTTAAACATTAAAGATGTTCATAACTATTTTTCGTGATTGAAGATTAAAACATAGGAATGTAATCAAGGTGCTAGGATTTTATAAAGAACTGAATGGAGTTTTAGAGGAATGGGGTGTTGAAAGTTTAAGTGATCGAATGATGGAAACGGTAAATAATAGCTTTTTTATATCGTTCCAGTCGCGCAATAAATGTTATCTACTGAAAGCTTTTCTTCATCTAGCAATCAATATTAATATATTTAGATGATAGTTGAGGCGAAAGACTATTCGCTAGACTTCTATTGGAATTCATTTTTTTATCTGAACTTATATTTAAATTATGCTCTACATTGTACATTATAGGACAACAGTAGGGTATTAGAATGCTTTCAACGCCACAAAATACTTTGTGATGTTGTGGAAGGATTATATTACTTACACTCAAAATCAGTAGTTCATAACAATTTAACTGGGTAAATATTGAAAAATAGCATAACAGTTACTTGTACCTCACACCGATTAACTCTCTTCGCCTTCTTTTCTAGCAATAATATAATTATAACTAAGGATGGGACAGCTAAAGTAGCTCATGGTGGCTATTACACAGTCTTTCCTAAAGCAAAGTCCAGTATCAATTTGGATAGTTTTAAAAATTTTCGTCATAAACTTGGTTACTACAGTTCTAGGGCATTAGGAGGAATACCTGAAATACCCAATGATATTTTCAGTTTAGGAGCTGTAAGTCATACAGAATTCTTTAAATTTACTATTTTGGATTGTGTGCTAGAAAAGGTATCGCAAAATGGTACTTGTCAATATGGTGACAAAGGAGAATATGTGTTGTAAGAAATATTGATAGCTGTCAATTTTCGTCTTGAAGGTTATTTTATTACTTGTGACTGGCAAGGAACCATATGGTGAAAACGATGAATACGTATTTGCTGTAAGTTGCTCTCCAAACCGAACAGATTTACTTCTGTAATCTAGATAGATCGAATATCGTATACTAAGCTTCAGACAACGTTGTCTAGATTATATTGGTAAATAATTCTTCAAAGCATTCTGGAATTGAAATTGTCAATCAGTTAATGATATTGCTTCGTACTTTGCCCTCTTACTCTTTATTCTTACCCTTACGCCTTTAAATTTCTGTCATTTCACTTGCTAATGAACTGACATAAACTAAATTAATTTTATGGTGCGAAATTATACGATTTAAATATACCTCACAGCTGAACCATTGCTCTTTCCATGTGCATACTGTATTGACAATAGCATAGTTGTAAAATTTAGTTTACTTTAGTCAAACCAATGATTATGATTACATTCGTATACAGACCAGTAGATTATACTTTAATGCAACGTCATTGAATGATACACTGATTAATTATAATTGATTGTATAGAAATTTTTACTTGAGGATACGTCGAAATGGCATAAATTAAAAGATGAAAGAATAGTATGGGTAAAGAGACGATCTCAGTTTTCCAGTAAGACATTCAGGAAGGCCTTGCTTAAAATTGCTAAAGATTGCATGAAAGAGAAAACTAACGATAGACCGACCTTAAATAAGGTTTGACATGCTATAGAATTTTAAAATGTACAGTTTTATTATACCCGATTTAATTCCGCGTAATTGCCATTGCAGTCTTTAATAGCTATTTTGATAATACAAGTATTAGCTCTGCTGATGTTGATTGTAAGTATCGTAGGAGCTTTGTTATCTTATGACATGCTACTTTGTGTAACCATCTTGAATAGATTAAAGGCAAGCTAGAGCGCTATAAGACAGCGTATTTTACCTTTGATTATAATATTCCAAATGAACACATAGAAAGCGGCGAAGATAATAAAGATGAAGAGAGTGATACATCGTCTTGTACTTTTTAAAAATTTAAATGTTATATGAAAATATTGGACCTGATATACTTATACAAAACCTTTCCTTATGTCCTTGAAAATGGACAACATTGAATTTATAGAATAGATACATAAAGTAAACTCCAAAACAATTGTTTTAAGTAATGTTATCTAATAGCTCTACTGGCATCCTTTCAAGTGAAATCTAAACAACAGTATGCTATCCAATTCACGATTCAGTAAATATTTCGTTCTTTGTTCCTTCGATTACGCTATTTGTGCCTTCATGGTAAAAAGAAGTCTTTTGATCTCGGCACGATAAATTCTATAAAGTTATACAATGTACACAGCACATTTCCTGGAAAACTGCGCTGGCTACAGAATATTTATCTGCGATACATGAAGTAACAATACCGTTGGATAATTTTTTTCATCTTTAGCACCCGCATTGTTAAGGTCTGATTTTTGATTAGCAGGCATTTGTTGCATACGTATTCATATATTATAGGTAATGGTAATGTTTCAAGTATGCATTCTTTGCCATAATGCAGGTGCTGATATAAAATTATACTATTTAAACAACATCCTGATATTATCCATTTCGTTAATACTTGTAGAAGATTGTAAAAAATGCTACATGTAGCAGAAAGCTGGCTAAATTTTTGGAGCCTAATATAAAGCCAGCTTTCTATCTCTATGCATATAATTTCAAAAAATCAGAATTTCTACGTATTCTTCCTTATTGATAGCTCTAGAATAGTCCATTTGCGAAGAAATGGTATTGCTACATCAGAAGCTGATCGTTTTGAGTACCGCTTGTATTTTTTAAATGGATGGCGTGTAACTTTGATCTTCAACTGTAATATCTATATTCGCAGTTCTATCTATCTATCCTTTATTTACCATTTCTAGGAATAAAAGTTATTATAACTAAAAATTTCACGTATTCATTAGTGTGCTGCCTACATATTTAACTTTTCTGTCCTAATAATTTTCGAAGTAATACCGAAGCTATTGCAGTGCTGCACAATTTGAGCCTATTAATTACGATCTCCATCATGCATGACAATATTACGAAAGGAATTATTAAAAAGGATAGTTAGGACCTAAGTTTAGTCTTCAATCGGGGCATTTTACTTCATTCTGATGGTATATTTCTTTAACATCAAGCGAAATTTCTAGAATATTTCTAGTCTAGCACTGATATTCATTATTCTTTCTGTGTAATTGAATGTGGATATGAATCATTGCAATGCAGTTTTATGTCTAGTATGAGCTTGATCGAGGCAGAAAGATGATGCAACGTAGCTATATGAGTGTAGATAGATCCAGCGAAAGGACCACGGTCAGTTAACTCACCCTCAATTAGAAGTTATCCTAAAATATTAATTTTTATATTAAATCTATAGAGTATCACAATTATCATAATCATGTTAAAAAAATCACCACACCAGATCAACTTTTCCTGTGACAAATTTGCATAACCATACACTTATGTCTCCATTCTTGTCATTGCTAGCTTGATTACCTACCTAAGAATCTAATTTTCAATTTAATAACTTTATTCTGATCCATATGTTCTTTTCAGCAAGATTACCTGTAAAACTATTTACAATAATGATGAGCAAATTATAGCTGAAGGCACTATTGAGTAAGCGATGAAACTCGCAGTATGCCTCTACTTCATATTTCCGTCCTAAATCGACAACCTTGTGGTCTACTAAAGAATTTTATTTACTTTTAAAATAATATATCAACAAAACAGGTTTTCTATCCATTTCTTATAGGCATTTTGTCAGCCATGATGTCATCCTTAAGATGTAATTCGTTGATGGATTGTCCAGTTACGATAAATCAATGAAGGCCAAATATTTCATATTTATCTTAACAAGATATTCAGTAGATTGGATACAAAGTATATGAAATAATGAATCAAATGAATGGGCTATCAAATTCAAATTAAATCGCTAAAATACGGCAAAATATAAGATCGAACATGTGTATGCCCTCGTAGAAATCGCTGTAAATTGTTACTTGAGGTATCAGTTCGTTTTTTATTCACTAGCATCAATAAGAAGATGTCTATATCAAAAATATAATAAGGAAACTACTGATAATTAATTATCGATTATTAGCAATCCACTTTATATTAAATTTATGTGTAACAAACTTAATTAGCAACCCATTCCATATTTAATTTATAGGTAAACAGGCTTAATGAATGCATAAATCGAAAATACTACAATGACATTTATTCATAACAATTTTCGATGATTAGCTATCCATTCCATATTTAATTTATACGCAAACGGGCTCGGTGAGTGCATCGAAGTGGTATAATAATTAAACTGTATTCATAAGCATATAAACAGAAATTAGTCATTTCAACATCCTATTTTGATTAGATCGAGGCTAAATGTATACAGTACTAATTCTATAACAGACAGTGTTCCCTAGAAATCCTAGTATTATTGTCAATATATTTACTCGTATTCTTTCTTTTTCTTCTCTCACATTCATTCTTTACTATTATTTTTACGGCGTAAAATAAGTTTATTTTATCTATATCCCATTCTCCAGCCTTTACTTTAATTCCGCCTTTTTCATAGTTTTGTAGCGCCATAGCAAGATTGCCAAAATTGATTAAAAGTAAATCAAATTAATACTATTTCATATCAGCAGTCAGCTTACCGGATCAACAGAGAAGTCATAAAATATGGCTAACAACGATCAAGCTAAGACGCAAAACTCCTTTATCAGGACATGTTGCTGCTTCTATAATGGAGAGAACAAGGTATGCTGGAACCTATCTGAGATTAGAATAATGAATATAGGTAAAATTGTTGGTTAAGGCTGCTTTAGTAAATAGCAGTCAAGATGTTTGTACGTGATGTACCAGTATAGTACTTTTTTAGCTGTATGCACTGTACGCAGATTACTATAATTAAATCGAGAATATCACAGAAAAAGCAATTAATTATTCATTGGTGATCCGTAGCTCAAGATGATTACTTTGATGCCAATAAATCGTCTATATGTCGGAATAAATTATATTACAGTAAAAGCAATTATTAATTCATGCATCGTAGTAGTAAGTCTACAAAGTTAATAGCGGTGAACGTATATTGTCCATATCTGACAATAAATCGTCTTACAGTAAAAAGTAATAATTAATTTTGGCATCGCGATAGTAAGTCTACGAGGTTACTAGAAGTGGGATATGTGATATGACAAAGAATTGAATTGCTCCTTTTATACATTGATAGATCAAATGCTTGCACATCCATAGGCATAGCCATTTTAGATGCTGTAATTTATTATTTTTGCTATTATTCCAACAAAAAATGCTAAGTTTCCATGTCCTATTGGTTAATTAATCGGTTATACTGCTGTAGAAAATCATCATCTGCTTGGAAGCGCATATTCGTATTGTTATCCTACTTATGATAACCCATCCTCTCTACGAATGCAAAATCACGGTAGACCGTCCCGGGCTTCTCTAAATGTCTTAATATCATTAGTGGTAGATACCTTGAGAGTTATTTCTACTTTTTGATCTTGAACGTTAAATATGCCGATAACTTATTTATATATTCTCAGTCGCCACTGCCCTTGATTTCCAATACACGTATATAGATATAAAGCCATACCTACAGCTGGATGCTGTTGGGTAGAAATAGGGCTAAGAGAGAAACTAACAATTTTTAGATAGAACCATTTTTTACTTTACTCTATGTATATTTGTCACGGTACGAATTACCGTGAAGAAATAGTCATCTAAATTTGGTTAATATAATATAGTGATAATATATTACAACTAGTTACTTACAGTAGGAATTACTCTAATTATAAATGTGTTACAGTAAATCTAATGCTGTGCTGTAATGTGTACTGAAATGATTCTGTGAATGGACATATTGTAGTCTGACTGTAAAAAATTAGTTAGTAGATGTTCTCACCTAAGTATTTTAATAAGATGACTCGTGAATGTTAGCTGCTGTAAGCCCGTCAGATAGTTGAATAAAGCAGTTCTCAATTGTATAGTTGTTTTAAGGTAGAAGCAAAGGCGTCTAAGTTCTTGTGAGGTAGTTAAGGGATACTGAATCCCGGAGACTATAGTAATTTGGAGATTTGTTTTACGTTATCCTTGTCACGAAGCTGGTTTGTGACAATATTATACCTGTATGCAAGGTTGAAAGGTACAAAGCCACAGGAATAGAAAGTGATGGTATAGAATTAACCCTATCACAGTAAAATGAATCATCATGTTGCATGAATAATTCTATAACTTCCTGTTACACAGAATATACCTAACTACTATTCACTAGTTTACTGAGAATCGCAGCATCTTATGCTCTCTAATTGATCAATCGCGTAATGTTAGAAAATAAAAATCTCCTCGATAATAGAAGCAACGCTCTGATACGTATGATGATAACTTGAAATTCGTATTTCTGGTTTGATAAACCATACTATGCAACACATAATAACGATATGTATCACAGTAAATTAATTCGAGCAGGTTAGTCTCTTAAGATCTCTTAGGCAGACGATCATATCATGCTTACAGGATAAATTAGTCAATTATACTGAAGGTTGGGGTAGAAAATTCCACCCTCAGTCAAAATTTCTGCTGCTAAACACTAAAGGTAAATCAGATGAGCACAAAAACTAGCAAAATTAACACTATAGTAAGATTGATTGAATAGACTACTGTATAGCCTGATCCACTAAGATGGATTACCTCGAATCTATCAGGATATAACAATTCTTTTCAGCTGGTAACTACTGTAGTTTTGCCTATTGGATGAAATGGCCAAGGCAATTTGCAACTCATATAACATGTACATGAATTTTTAAGACATATCTTCCATAGCTTACTAGGTCTATTTTGTCATTTTATTAAAATCAATTAATAGGGAGATAATGGAAACCGCAAAAACTACGACAACGAGGAAAGCTATTATCGAACTGATGTAGACCATGAGAGATCTCTATATCAAAATAAATGTGTAGCAAAATCCATCACCAACTCTTTCGCTTATTGTTCATGGCCGTCTACAAACGAAGATCCTCTAGTGGATCAAGATTCCAGTGAAGGTGCAAGCGACTTTGTTGAGTCTGGTCTTTATCAGGTTAGCATTGATACTATCATCGATGAAATTAAGAATGAAAATGTAAAATGACCTTAATGTAAGTTGTAAATATAATTTACTTGATAAACCCAATCCTTAACCGGCTTGGTTTCTTATGAAATAACTTTATTGAATTTACAGATATAGAATGAACGTATAAGCTTGTTTCGATCTTCTACTCTTCTTGTAGGCTGAATTATTCGGCCGAGACTTTGCTTACCTATTACAAGTTATTACTCTTGAAACGGATCATTATTTGAATAAATTTTAGCCTGTTTTAGAGCACTTGCAGCGACAATATCTCTTTTAAAATTCGATATCTACGTTGTTCGATAAGCATTGCTTTAACTTTCCCTATAGGCTATCCGTAAGTCCCTCACGTTGCCACAGCCAGAAGGCTATTTTGGCAAAACCTGTGTTGGAATTAAATATTTAAATCAATGTTTCGTTTTCAAACAGTGGCATTATCAGGTTGGTCATGACTAATGCATCTAGTCTAGTACGATTTAAGCATCGTTAACCTAATGCCTAAACTTAAATAATCCTGATCACTTCGTATCAATTCATTCTTGTGATTACAAATAATGTATCATCTGAAATCTGACTCAGATCGTAATTAAAGCTAGAAAAAATCTTCGACAAGGAGCAATGCGTTTATCTAAGTATATCTTTAACTTGATCCAGTTTTTAAATAATCTTTTATAACTGTAAAGATAGTTTTCCATTTTAGATCACCAGCATATTAACACCCGTTGGTTATCTCTGTTAAAGATTAGAGCATAGAAATGTTATCAGGGTACTACAATTCTATCTAGAATTCAACGGAGTTGTAGAGGAATCTGGAGCTGAAAGTTTAAGTGATCGTATGATTGATATGGTAAAGACTAATTTCAAATTTAATGCGAGCCCCATCATGACAGTTAATTAAAAGAAAATGAATCCATTACAATCTATTCTAGTATATAGCACTTTAAGGACCATTTTAGGACAGATCACATACACACCTGTTGATAAGGATTGGATTAAGTTTCATTGGAACTTTGTTCTTAAGCTATGCTCTACCCATTCCATTGCAGAATCCAAACAGATTATTAAGGTGCTACCAACGTTATGTAATCCTTTCCAATGTGGTTGAAGGATTATCCCACCTACATTCGAAAGAAATCGTTCATAACAACCTAACAGGGTAAATTTCATTAAAGCCAATCATCGAATGACCGTTATAGAGACTTATACTCTCCATTATGAATTGATTATAGGAAAAATATAATTCTCACCAGTGATGGCACCGCTAAAATAACTCATGGTGGCTATTATACGGTCTTTCCAGAAGCAATATCTAATATCAAAGTAGATGGATTTAAAAATTCTCAGAACAAACTAGGTTATTACAGTTCCAACGCATACAATGGAATAGTTGAAAAATCCAATGACATATTCAGTCTAGGGGCGGTAAGTCCTTCATTCTTCTTTCTATTCAATACTTCTTCAATTTTTATCCTACATATGTTGTTACTGCAAGCGATTGCCATTAAAATAGGCTAATGTGTATCGTATTGGTAGCCAGTCTTGATAACATTTGAATATTTTAATTTTGGAAGGTAATCTTTCTGCTGTTATGTGGGAAAGAGCCATATTTGTGTACTGAAAACGGAAAAGATGTTGATGCGGTAGGTTACTCTCCAAGCTAAAATGGATTCCTTATAACTGCTTTAAAAAAAATTTGTTCCTACCATTCCTAGTTACTTTAGATTCAATCTATTGAATACCTATCGATCATAATATGATTTTCATATAGAAATTTCCTCAACTATGTCACAGTCTACAAATCAACTTACAATAACTACTTTAAATGTTTTCAAGTCAAGGATATTCAACTATGTCTTAAGAATCTGGATCTGTCATCTTGTTTCTTAAAATGTACAGCTAAAATAGATATCAAGCGTTTGTAGATCTATTAGTGAATTCGCGATAGCATTCTAAAATTAGTTCGTATAGTCAGCGATTATTTCATATAAAATATTACCTTTCAATTATGATCTATCGCTAGACTGCGATAGTTTATTTTAGCGTAAGCCATAAATTGTCGATATGTTAGCATGCAATAACAGGCCATAAATACTCGCCTTTTAATTTAGCATCTGTATGAAAAAATTATTCCCTTTTTGACATGTTATGAATTCTCGTTGATCATCATAGAGATCAATACTTCAAGACAAGAAAAAGCGAAAAACTCTAAAAGATAAACGGATCAAATGGGCGAAAAATCCCCAACTTTCTACTACTACATATAGAAAATGTTTAGTATCAATCGCTAAAAATTGTATGAAGGAAAAATTAAGCGAAAGACTGAGTATTTATCAGGTAAAGATATACAAACTATCAGTAAATTTCAGTTTTTAGTTGATTGAAAGCATTCATGTCTGCTATGGTGATGGATATACATCTTGATGATATCCGTCGCTACCTTGTCGATTTTAGTCAAGTGTAGCGCTAGAAATATTCAACCTTATGTTGTAACCTTTGATGGCCTCCAATAGATCAAGAAAACACTGCGAAGCTGTTTGGATATTTATTTCAGCGGTACTGATGATATGCTAACTACAGGATATGTATCAGTGAACGATTGTGATGATGAATAATCCCTTTCCTGTCGTTCATGAAAGATTCGGAAAATAAAAATGATCATACGAGTAAACTGTTAGCTAGAAGGTATAGCCATTCTTTAATCGTTATCTATAGAATATGTACATTTTAAATCTTAATGGTTGGGAATTGATGCATTCTTGCTTAAATGATTCAGTAGTTTGCATATTACATTAATATGACATACGAAGGACCATAAAGGTATACTTGCATGTAAAGGATCTTAGCGTTCTAATAGTTTTACAAGAATTGGCAATATAAAACACAGTTACTTGTTCACATGATTAAGCATAACCTTAATTTATATATAGTACAAAATATGCGCAATTACAGCTGCTTTGTATAGTTTATTTGCCATTTATAACAATAAAGCCAGTTTATAATTAATTATAATCACAGATTTTAATTAACAATATTCGATTCACCCAGCTGATATATTTTTTAGCTTGATTAATCAGGTGCAATTTTAGTTTAGTTTCTTGACTTTTAGAGATATTGGACTAAACCAGACTGAATACAAATATTCATACACGATATCCTTAATTAATTATACAAATATTTTCAAATATTTAAGGACTCAGAATAAGTAGATAAACGTTATACCAGCGTAAATACAAATAAATATGTATAGAGAGGTTCAGATTATGTGAATTAATTCATATTATGAAAAAAGGTAAATCGTGAAATAAATCGATCGGAATTTTAAGACAGAATTGCATTATTTCTTAACTAAGGTTATGAATCACATGAAATTTAATGGACTCTATCATTTACAATCTATTTGCTATATGGAAGCAGAGTTCAGTCAATGATAAGTAAAGTATTACAAAATTATTGACACAATTTCGATTGGCGAAATTTTAGTAAACTAATGAATTAATTTTCAACGAAATAATGATTGTTAATAAGGACACGATGCTAAGTTTTGAACAACATCTACCGTAACAGATTGACAACTACTTCAAGTTCCCGTCATAATTTTATCGTTTAGGTTTTATTTCCTATTTAAATCCTAGTATTAATTTGGAGGATCTGCGAGGAAATTCTTAATCTCTAACAAGGTTCTGTAGCACTGAAAACAGAATGAAAACACTTTAAGTTGCTACGCAAGATTACATGTAGTACCGAATATCGAGAATTTCAAGAAGTGAGATAAATAGTGTATTCAGCATTTAGGACATAAAATAAAATCAAGGCTCAGATTAAAAAATTTCCAATATTTTTAAATCGTTTTATCGATAGATTATTTTTATCAAGACTTGAGCTCTAAATAGTTCAATATTACAGTATTTTATAAAGAATGTGATTGACTGTTTACTTCAGGAAGTAAAAGTTGATATAAAACTTGCCGAGAGCTTTTAAAAGTTTTAAGGTCATTAGCATATACTAGGATAGCTTATGAAACGAAAATGCAATAGCAAAGTTAAACAGTATTGTTGCCACTTACTTCACTCATCGTTGGACGTTCAAGACGATCCTTTTTCAGGCATTCATATGCAATTTCTTGCATTTCTTCTGATGAAAAGACGTATTCATTGCTTGGCCACTCAATATCTTCATCACAATAAAATAACATTTCCGGATTTCCACAGCATTGCAAGAAATGATCACCCTATCAAAGATTAATATTTATTAGCGTAATGAGTGACACTAAATATTTATGTATTAGAATAGAAGAAATATTTATGTACATCACAACTAAAGTAAAAGAATGAAAATTTTATTTGTATACTATATGGTCAAGCGCTCGGGCGATGAATTTCTTAATTAAATTGTAATTTTAATGTTACACAAAATATCTATGAGGTTTAATACCTATAATTAATAAAGCAGTGAGTGTAATATTTGTATTAGAATATTGATACATATTTTAATAGAATATCGTATCTAAGATATTCTTATACGATCGATCGTTTCCATTAACAAAAACTCTTCTCAAGAAGTATACCATTAATAACACCTGGATAATGCTGAGCGTAGGATAACTTATCCTAAAATCTGTTTTCTTCAGTCTTATTCTAGACCATGTATAGAATTGATATAATAACTTTACTACATATGCATAAGTTGAAATATTATATTGATTCTTAGATATCTATTGAGTTTTGGCTAAACTCATCACGTAGACTATATCAAGTTAATCTACCAAGCAAATAGTATTGTAATATGATCAATAGAAGACGCTAATAAATATCCCTAACGATCGAGAATCTGATTTTTTAGTATTCCTCTTGAAACCGAAGAGTAGAGTGCTCATATATTGGTATGCATATGCTTACTAGATAGACAGGCTTGTCGGCTGATGGACCTGAAATATCCGGTTTGTAGCTAGATAAGCCAGAAACGATTTCTAGCACAATCTTAATAATAAATAACATTTAGAATTCCGTCAGTACTTCAGTAAGTTATGGAAATGCAGAAAATTTAAATCTGAAATATGCGGTGTAATTTAGATATAAAAACTATATTATTGGTATAAGAACTTACAATTCCATAGCTATAGGAATCAAATTTACCAGATGCGATTCCACTATCAAGATCGGGCGGCATGTAACCTTTCAAATATTTTTGACGTTCTGTTGGGGTTGGGCTATAATATATTTCTTGTAAATCAATTGGCTTCAGTAGTCCATAATCGGACAACTTGGGTTCCAAAGCTTGATTTAGTAGAACATTGTTGCTATTAAGTAGCAGATGCATTTTATTCTTGCAAAATGCATCATGTAAGTAAGCTAAACCACTTGCAATTCCCATTAATATTTTAATACGTATATCAAAGGATAAAGGCTTAGTCTATGATTTAGACGTCGATTATTCCGATTCATGTTTATGAAAGCCAGTTTAAAAGGAGGATAAGAAAAACAGCTTGTGAGTAACAATAGATACAACGACACAATTCAAAGCATAGATTTGAATATGAACGCAAATTTAAATAGCGGAAAAGAAAAGTACTGTTGAAACAATAGTAGATACAGCAAGGTAATTCAAAAGATGCATTCTAAATTTGGTATCATTTGCTCTATTGCAATTCCATGCCACTGATAGTACGTTTTTGGACATGATGGTAGGCTATTATACCAGAACTGAATTTTAAAGCAGGTCATGTACATTGCACTGATATAAATAATTCCGAAAGAGGGTATTTCTACTCCGTACTAAATAGAAAAACTGCTTGATGTTGTTTGCCATATTGATATTTACCTTATCTTCTAATTTTTTTCGTAGATTTTCATTATCGATAAACTGAGTTAAAACGCACCACTGTCGGTCAATTTTGAGTAATGCAATCGGTTTGACAATATTAATATGATTGTAGCTGTTTAAATAAGAGTGGATTAAATCGTGAATACATAGTATTTTATTCAAGCTTAACTTTCAAAGGAAATTTATAAGATAATTACATTTGTAGCTATAATATTTAGAACTATTTTATTATCGTCTTACTCGATAAGTCCGGCAAAGGTAGGTAATAATTCTGCATACTATATTGGTCATAAAAAAATACCTTAGTCGTTACACTAGACAAAATTATCTCGATATAATACAAAAATTGATATTCGTCCAAAGCGGCCGATGTAATATGGATAGAGTAGGATAATTTATAATAAATGAAAAGTATCACAGCGGAATACAGCAGTAAAATATAATCCAGCTAGTTGCAATAGAGTAATTTCACATGCCTCTACTTTATCTCTATAGGCCTAGTATGTGCATTGTAACAGCTGGAATGAGAGCTAAGTAATCCAGTCTCATGAGATAGTAAATTATATATTCTTGTTTGATGTCGTATACTGGTACGATATATCGCTTGGCTAGTCATTGATGCAGATTGTTTTACTTACTTTTATAGGATACGAAAATGCAATAATAAAACATAATTCAGTTAATTGCAATAAAAAGAATGTTATATTCTACTACTTTGCCTTTATAGGATACGTAAATTATAAACAGAAAGAATGGGAGCTAAATAATCTAGTATCATGAGATATAAAATGTCTATTCTACGCTGATGTTTAATATTAGTCGCTATATCACATGGCCAGTCATTAATAAAGATAATTTTTAAATAATTTTATTAGATACGTATATTATACGTATCCTACTCAGATGTTTCATACTACCAAATTAAATGGCCAGCAATTAATTCTAGATTGTTCCTACATTTAATTGGGTCATCATTCAAAAGGGAAAAAATGCGTCAAACCCTAAACCAGAAGTTCATAGCTATGAAAAACTAATTCACTATTTTCACAATGTGTCACAGAATGATTGTAAAGCACCAATTTGGTAGTTTCCTCTGTTGATAATACTACATCATCATATCTTTCTGAGTATAAAAATATCATCAACTCCTCTATAACAACTATGAAGCTCATCCTACTCTGTCATTTCAGTATTAGCATCGAGTATTATCTTGCTAGAAAATTGATCCGGAAGCATGAGTTTAGAATCCTTAATACTACAATTAATAACCTCCAGATTCAGCTTTCTAATGGCAACAGCTCCTAGCTTTCGAATTTCAGCTTTAAAAACTTGACCAAATTCACCCTCACCGAGATAGGCTGGATAATTAATTTCGCTTGACGTAATAATGTCCTTTAACGCCATCATAATATAACAAGTATCCATTTAGATATTGCATCCGCTATACAATTTATGTTATCACATTATCTTTTACCGATCTGAGTATTCGATGAGGATTGACTGGCTGCGATATAAAAAATAACCATAATTTGATTAATAGCGTAGTATACGATATAAATGAGGTCTTAATGGTTCCAAGCTAGCTATATGTAATTACAATTCCTTTAAAATTATCCACAAGCTTAAGGGTGGTTCAACTGCAATACAATTATTCAATTTAATGTATGATTATCAGTACAGTAAATTCGATTTATCCACAGTATCTTTAGGATCGTAAAGCATCTATGTAAAGATTCAATAAAGACTAGAAATAAATATGTAAATAGATAACTAAATACTTTGCCAATAAATAAAAGTAAATCAATATAATTGTTATGGGACGATATTGGCCAAAAACGATAGACACAATTTAAAAAATTCCTTGTTAGTTACTTCAATATTTATGATCTAAGCACGAATTAATCTAAGTGCAACATGAATAATAAAGCTAGAATCATCGAATCGGATATCTATATTCAGTCCTAGAAATCTTACAAACTAGATATCTATATTAACTGCTCAAACAGTCTTATTTTCAAACAGGTAAACATTCAATATGAATATCCTACTGGATATTGAACCAAACAGAAACCCCAAAACCAAGAACTATTTTTCCATAATTTCAGAACTCAGGTCTAAAGTAAAATTCAATCTTGTGTTATTTAAAGTAAGATTTTGGAATACTGAAATAGCGTATTAACTGAAATTAATCTTTAGTTGTGGTAAATTAGTTTCAACCTGCTATTTCATTAAATTAGTATCAGTGATCAAATATAAATGATGATGTTGGCATTGATCTTGAAAGCTTAAATGGATAATAAATAAGATTAAATGGTAGACATAGATGAATTAAAAGTGACCATGCCACAAACATCAAAATTTTACTCCATATAAACGAATTAGTTTTGGTGGATGTGACATTCAATATCGCATTCTAGTCAACAGGGTTAATAGTGATATCATATTGCGAATAGGTGCCTAAGATATATACTTAGAGAAGTAAAGGTTTATGCTAATATGATTTACAGATCTGTTATGACATTATTTAGATAGAATAGGCCTCATGTTGAGTGTTAGGTGGCTACCATTTTAAATCTTGAATAAAGGTAGCGTAATTAGCTTTAATTAGAGAGAATAAGCGATTGATCAGTTAGCTTTAAATTAATATATTTTATAGAGGGATACTATAAAAGTAGACAATCTATATCGAAGACCGTTGAAAAAATTTGAGTGTCAGTACGCCTGAAGAAAGATAGCATGATTAGCATCTAGAAATTGAAAAATTGAACGTTCATCTTGGATATCAATTCAAAATTGTACCCATGGAAAATAGATCAAGGAAATGGACACAAATTTCGCGTACTAATCACTTTTACCACACAAATAAATAATCCTACAACTGAAAACTGTGACTAATGGAGTAATCGCAGTGATTATCTTTTCAAGTAAGATTAGCACTCCTACTGCATTTTGCATTACCTTGAATATAGGAGTTGATGGTTTCTTGCACGCGTTTCCCATTGGATCTCAGCAATGATGGATAGTGCAATTAGAAGGAGAACTTTTAATAGAAATTTCTGATTTCTTTCGTTCAAATTGAATGGCTATCACAGTTTAAAATGGTGCTTTGAGTGGAGAAGATTAGACAGCGTCCGTAGCAAAATACTTGATCGAGTCTGTCAATAAAAAGATGCAATTTTCATGCAGTCAATTGGCTAGCAGAGTGATAATACAACCGATAAATCAAATAGAGTGAAATATTGTCCGTTGTACAACCAACCAATATGGCGACGTAAGCAATGAAAAGTAATCATCAAATGACATCATTTAGCGTTATTAGCTCTTTAAGTCTTGGCGTCCTATAGGAAGTAGATCAGACGTCATTAAACCTTTACTACGGACAATAAAGTCAATCGAGTTTGTTTGCTAGCCCATATGACGGAGAGTTTACGTTCTTGCAATGAATAACCTTCATCATTTGCTACCATATGGTTCAAGAATCTCTCTATTCCACCCGTGGAAAACTTTTATTCTGGGCTACGGACAAACAACCACTTAATAAAGCAATTATGATGGGAATGTTTCTCATTCAACCTAATATAGCTATAAATCCAATTTAGGTTTTGGCAATCAATTTATTTTCTAATTTGTTGATTACCGCGATTTAGCCATCAATTTAATCGATCATATAACACTTTTCTAATATGATGGAGATTTTCACAACTTTTTACTTCGAGTTCCAATTCCGTAATATTGACATAGCATATTGTAACACTAATGTTATCCCTAATTTGAATTTATCGCCGGTAAAGATCATGCAGCACAGTCGAAATATTGACATATTAATAATAAACTGAATAGAAAAGGGAACTATCAATCGCCAGTAAATTGTAAATTGGATTGATTAATTTAATCTAAAATAGTTTATTCCTATTCGCCATAGCGATAAGATAGGAGAAGCCGTACTTGTCTACCGTAATAATTATGATCTGGTCCAGCTTATATTAATCTCTTAGCTTCAAGTTTTAATGAGAATTAGCTCACAGGTAGAAATTATTTATTAAGAGGCCTTTTCTAAACACTAATGAAAAAATGCTTGACTCATTTTCTTCTCTGTATGAACTTCCGCGTTTTAATCGTAGGTATCACGCTATTAGATCACTTTATAATGATGGCAGCTTATTTCTTAATCCATACAATCATGATTTATAATTTCCCTCCTGAATTAAAATCGTAGACTTTATAACGCTTTACTATAGTAATAAACTGAATAGAAAAAATGACTATCGATTGCCAGCAAATGGTGTATTATATCGACTAATTTAATTTGAAAAATGTTCACCTCTATTCGCCCAGGCGATTAGATACGAACATAAATACACATATACTGTAATGATTATGTTCTGATCCTAATCATATTAATCTTTTAGCTTTAAACTGTGATAAGAATTAGCTCGCAGGCTGAATTTAAGAGACCCTTTTTAAACCTACTGATGAAAAGGTTCTTGTCTCATTTTCTTCTCTAAATGATCTTCTACTTTTTAATCGTGGGTATCATGATATTAAGATTATTTTATAGTTGAGGGTAGCTTTATTTCCATACTCCATAGAATGATGATCTATGATCCCTTCCCTGTATTAAAATTTTTGACATTGCAATACTTTGCTATAAATAATAAACTGAATAGAAAAGGCTGTAATCAATCGGCAGTCAACTGTACATTGAATTGATTAATTGAACTTAAAAAGTTCACCCCTGCTGGTCATGGCAAAAAGTTGCGTCGAGCAGAAGAACACATCTACTAAATGATTATAATCTGGTCCTGCTTCTGATCTCTTAGCGTTCAGTTTTGATGAGAATTAGCTCTCAGACTGAAAATATTTAAAAGACCTATTCTAAACCTACTGATGAAATTGCTTTTCTCATTTTCTTCTCCAAACAATCTTCTACTTTTTAATCCTGGGTATCATACTACTAAGATCACTTTATAGCCTATAGTAGCTTTGCCTTCCTACTTCATAGGATTATCGGTGATCCCCCTATATCAGACATTACATTACTTTACTACTTTTCAAGGCCAATTACAAATTTTCTCATTTCGACAATAAATACAGTATTGCTGATACTATATTTAATAATATAATTCTTACACTAATAAATTATCTGCCATAATCTGATAATATTGTAGATAATAGAACCCTATTTTCCATTTAATTCTCATTTCTAATCGATATAATTATCATGAACTCGGATTTAGACTTTAGACAGAAAACTACCAACACTTATTTTTACAAATCTCCATCTCATTTTTATTCTAGAGAGTGATAGTTTCCCAGGCAAGAAATCAAAGATACTATATTTGCGGAGTAGATTTACTTGATACAGGGCATAAAAATATCACTATCCTGACTGCCATAATAGATACATCAAGATCCAGTTATTGCAGCTTAGCTGGGAAGGACAAAGGATAGCAATCAGATTTAGAGCAAAGCAGGAGATCAAAGATACTAGAGTGTGAAGTAGATTCCTTTATCCTCATCAATTTCTAATGATAATGAACACAATCAAAGATGATCGATAATACTAACGATATCGAAGCATACTTATGGCATGATTTTCTCCAGTGCACGGATAAGTCCTTAGTGATGGTGATTTATTTATGGTTAACACCTGTATAGAATGACGAAAGCTATTCAATGCTTAGCTTTTAAGAAAAGGATTAAAGATTGCATAGCTAGGTATGTCTCCATTTTCTCAACCGTGTGGATAAAAACTTCATAACGGCAATTGAATCAAAGTTCATAAAATTTGTATAGAATGACGACAACTATTCAAAGCTTAACTTTTTGCAAAAGGATTAGGCAATCGGTAGCGAAAACGATCATATATTATAGTGAATCTAATACAGGCAGAAATAAAAGAAAATCATTTGTATAGCTCGTTTCTAATAGTCTCCTTAATTTTCAATTAAGCGAGAAAGGCTTACCGGTAGTAATTCTTAGTAGTCGTGGCTATATTTTCGAATTAAAGGAATTTGCTGAACATGACCGATGAGTAAGGTTGTTATGATCTGACTGCTTTTAGATACGATAACAAGTTTGGCATCGTTGAAAGCAATTTCTATTCTTGACTGATATTACGGCTCAGATGCAACTAATTTTTATTCAACGCAAGGACTGACTATTTATTGCCACTTTCCATAAAGATATGCGAAATTAAAACGTCTTGAAATAAGAGAATATTCGCTACTTTCCAAATAGACTGTTTAACTGGGATGTATGTCTGCTGTCATGATGAATGATACAGTAAAAGTGTTACATAGAAGCAGGTACCTAAGGTTTTTAAGACTTGCTTTTGAGCAAAGATGCTCTGGAAATGTAGATACCACTGCAGGTGTCAAAATTCTTTTAGTTACAGTATTAAGTCATAATAAAAATTGTTGTACACGAGGATGGGTCTTAATCTTAATACTGTAGAAGCAGCCTATATGCTAGTAACCGGGGTGCTAGAGTTAAGTAAATAATAATAATATTAAGATTTGTTTAAGTAGAGGAACTGGGCTGCAATCGTTAAATTCAAGTCCTTCGTCACTAATGCAATTGTAATCTCTCTGATTTATACATCGTTGTATCCTTCTAAGAGAAAATCGGGAATAACAGGGATAGTGGATTGACTAATACTCATTCTTCGCTTGGTCAAGAAATGGTATGGAATGTTCTGTCGATCCATATCCAATAGTTAAAAATTTGAAAGTGCTAATTTGTTGCATTTAGTTTATTCATCGATGTTAGAATCATAAGCTAGTCTTTTAATCCTGATTTCAAGATCTTGATGTTCTTTGAAGCGAAAATCAGGAACAACAGGGATAATGGATTGATAACTGCTCATTCTTTGCTTGATCAAGAAATTGTAGGTATGCTCTATCGATCTGTGTCCAAAGTTCTTCGTAGAGGAAATCAAGAATAACTGGGAAAATGGGTTGATCATTGCTCATTCTTCGCTTTGTCAAGAATGCTATAGAGAATGCGATCTCGATCTATGCCCAATGGTTGAAGATGCTAATTTGATGCATTCAATTCTTTCGTCGATATTAGAATCGTAATCGAGTCTTTTAACCTATCCAACTTCAAGATCTCTAGGACCTTCCAAGAGAAAATCGGGAATAACGGGGATAGTAGATTGATAAATACCCATTTTTCGCTTGGTCTGGAAATCTTAGGCTAAGCTATGTCGATCTATGTCTAATAGTTGAAGGTGTTAATATCCAACGCTCGATATGATTCATTCGAAAGCTGAAAGCATTTCTCGGTATGCTGCTGATTTCTGGCTATCAAAATCATGACAAGACGAGAATTAGGGTTTCAATTCCCTGGAGAGAATTAATTTTCGCCATAACAAACCAAGATCCACTACCAACTATGTCCTATACTATAATTCAGTCTGGAGATTGATATTAATGCCTGGCAGAACCAATTCCATTAATGGAGTATTCGTAGTAGACCACAAGTAATCAAGAAGGGTAAATAAGTATCACTGAAGCAGTAGTATAAAATCTTTCAGTAAAGGATGTGATTTAATCGCTTATTAAATAATAAGCAACAAGGGTAGAATATCCAAACAAACAGATGACTAGTATATAGGATGTTATCATCGAGCTGTAGTTATAGCTATTAATTGGAAAATTATACCGGTAAATAATTTTTTCCTCTAGTAATATATTATGAACCCTATAAATTACATTTATGCCTTACTGTACACGTCTTTTTTAATAGGTACTATTAGACCGGATGCTGTATATTGTATGATTACTACCGGATCAGCTATCTGCAAATTAATAAACGATATTTACGGCAGTTTTTATATCTAGTACCAATTATCATCTCTGTCACGGTGTACTTTAGTCGATTATTGAAGTAAAATAATATAGACAGAGAATTAAGCAAAGTTATATTATGACGATAGATGAAATGATCTGGAGATCAATTAGATGAATCTTCTCTTGAGTCTACGAAGCTTCTAATGCTTTATGTAAAGCCAGGGGTTCCGTTACTATTTTTGAACACTAGCATATAGCTGCTATTAGAAAAATTACACCTGTATGCACTTTTTCCTCCAGTAATATGTTGTAGATCTTATCAATTAAATTTATGCTTTTATTATTTAAACATTTTTTAAAAGTACCTCTAGACCTATTGCTATATCTTGTATTAGTACTACTGGATCAGCCTGTAAATTAATAAATGACATTTACGGCAGTTTTTGTATATATTTAGGACCAATTGTCATGCGGTAATGGTGTGAATTAGTCGGTTATTAAAAATTAAACAATACAGGCAGGATATTAAACAAAATTATTTCATGGTGATAGGTGATAATTATTTAGATAGCTATTAGATAAATCTTCTTTCGAGTTTATGAAGCATTTAATTCTTCATGTAAAGCTAAGGATTTTGTAACTCTTCATAGACAGCAGCCTATAGCTATTATTACTAAATCATATCGGTTATGTTTTGTTTTCTCTACTAATTTTGTATGGATCTTCCAATCCTATTTATGCGTATATACGCCTTTTTTGTTTATGTATCTTATGAAAGTAACAATACACCTGTTGATTGTTGCTATATCTTGTATAAGTAGTACTACTACTGGATCAACTACTTGTAAATTAATGAACGACATTTATGCCAGTTTTTATATGTAATTAGGATCAATTATTATCTCAGTAATGGTGTAAATTAGTCGGTTATTAAAGTAGCAAATAGACAAGATATTAAAAACAAAATTACGAGGACTGCTATATATGACTGTAGCTAGAAACGATTATTTGGCAACCATAAGTGGTTTTTTCTCTAGTACCTATCATGACTCATGTCATACATATTGAAGCCTTAATATAAAAGTGCAGTTCTATCAGACCAGCTACTAGTGCATTAATGAACAAAAATTTCGTAACAAAGATATCATAACTTTGTATTAATGGAATTAGCATTGGATAGAAAAGTTTACTCATGGAACTGGTAGTTGATCAGCTTTCAGTTTTTAAATTAAACAGATCTTGTCTCAATATTCAATTTTTATTTTTAAATTGCCCTGATTAGATATTTACATTAACATATCATCAAAGCTCATTGTTGGATACTTTGTATGAAGATGATTTAATTATAGTAATCTTGGCAAAGTTCTAGACCGTAGGCTAATCGTTTTATGTACTACTGATATAAATTTCAAATGTAGGACAATCATAGGGCACAAGGTAAGGCCAATACATAAACTACTTCTAATCTACCGAGTTTTCATTTCATCGTCAATCATGATAACTCGATAGACGTAAGCGAAAGAAGAAAGTTATATCTAACATTTAAATGCTTGCCTTGTTCATTGATAAAATAATTCTGAACGGTGGCTCTATTCTGAATCCAATCGTTCGATCAAATTATCATTAAAAAGAGAGAAAATGATGAAAGATAGCTTTTGAGTTGTATTTGCTTATTCTCAATCTCTTGTCATTCTTTTTCTGTATTCAATCATAAACCAATTAATTGCTTGTAACTTCCAATAGCCATTTTAGTGATCGAATTGCCATCAAAGAAATTATTGTCTAGCCGACGATGTTATTCATTCAACAAATTTGATTTAAAAGCAATAGCTTAGGTGCTGAATAGCTGGGAAGTCAGTCAAGGATTGTTTTCACTCTATTGATGGACTAATTCAATAATAACCATCATTCTGCAAGTTAATTACCATTTGATTAACTCATGGATATGTAAGGGCAAAAACTTTTGTAATCTAAACAATACGTAATAGCCAACAACAAGCCTTTACGTTTACAATAAGTTGTTTTAAATACAATATATACTAGATCATTGTCTCTTTCTGGCCGATAAACAAGGTGTTAGTGAAATCCTGAGGGAACTTTTAATATTTGTTTTACTTTTCTATCTTCGTCTGATTCGATTCCAAGATAGAATAAGGTAGTTGTTGCACAACAGTGTTCCCTTTTGCTTTATTATTAGATTACTTATATCTCGGTAATAATAATTTATTACTGATGAAGCTAATTTAATACTTGTATTCATCTGGCTATCTGCAGAGAATCATCTTTATCTAATGCTATCCTTGGTTAAACAAGGAGCACAATCAACATTTTAGATTCGGTAAATAAAATCAAGCAGAAGTGTCATTTTTCACCCTCATTCGATGTATTTGTACTAATTAGATTAGGAAGAACTTTCATCATTGCTATGAAATGGATTCTAATCATCGCTGACGTTTACCTTTGTGTCTGATTTTAAAATTTTGACAGATAAAGCTAATCAGAAATTGTGGTGTGGTCATCAGAATTGTAAATTTTAAAAACCAGCGCCTATAGTCGCGGCAAATCACCAATATACAGGTGCGATAATCATTTATCTGGTACTGGCAGTCAGAAAAAATTAGATTATCGGAGCTTTACTATGCATACCTACAAATTGATTTCATTTTATCTAAATAGTATGCAAAGCTAAATAATCTATAGAGTTATTCATAGCTAAATTCCGTGAAAAGGTACACTCATAATCTCATTCTGTCATAAAAATCATTCTAGCCAAGTAAAATCCTTTTAGCGCATATTAATGCTTGCGATGTATTCTATTTAGATAAACTTCGTATTCAGATGGGGTCCTAAGTTAGTTTATTTTAATTACCCATATCTTAGTGGCATAACTCAATTAGTAACTATGTAGTCCTCGGTACTAGCCTATAAAAGCTGACAATTTGTAAGTTAGGTCGTCCCGTGAAGAATATTTTAGTCAACTTTTTTTAACCGATATTAATTTTCAGGAATACTATACCAAAGCCTGTTTCAGTAAAGCAAGCATCGAGAAAGAATAAATTATTATGACTCGCGTGATCTTGTAGCTATAATAATGCTCAAAATTAGCCATTGTAAAAACTTCTATATAAATACTACATAAACAATGACGGAATTATATTATTAGAAACCTCAAGGGAGGAGAGAAATCCCGAAGCGCTGATATTGATTTCCTGAGCATACACACAGAACTAAAGTACTACTCTTAGCAGTTAGAATAGTAAAGTAGATAATTGTTATTTTCTGATATAATCTTATAGCAAGATAGTGCAAATTATTCAGCATTAACTGTTATGATATAGCATAGTAATAGTGAAATCAATAACAGTACGCGTTATTTTTGAAGACTAGCAAATTGGAAGAAATTATGAGCAGTAGCTATTGATTTCTAAAGTATATTATTGCTAAAAATACAATTTTTAAACATAATAATGCCAGATTAGTTTGCATGGATTTGTCATAATGTAATACACAGCTGATCATAATTAGCAAACATTTGCTTATATAAAATATTAAAGTGCTATAAATTAATTAAATTATGCCATGGTGAGCTCAGTAGTTGCAGTAAGATTTTTACCACCAAATTAAAATTAGCTGCATTCAAAGTTAAAATTTTAAAAGGGTATGGCATACTTCTTTCCGATCTTGTTACGTAAATAAGACAGAGTGCGGGTATAATGGATTAATTCTTGTAAATATTAATGAATTATTATAGTTTACTTTTCTTCTCTTGCACGACAATATTAAAATTGAGATCTTATTTTCAATATAGTTTTAAGTTTAGCAAATTAGCGCACATAACGTGGGTTAGAATCCCCTTTAGATTTAAGAATTGGCAATTCTGAAAATTTTTCGACCTTATCTGCTGTGTACACTTTCATCTTACAGATTATTCAATTTATTCTGATGTGTCTTTATTAGATTGTGCAATAATTATTATATGTAAAAATCCTAATGCACGAATATGATACCATTGAGTAAAATAGTTGCTAGTCTTTTTTTAATTTTTTATCTTCACGTATTTTAAAGTTTATTCTTTATCGATCGATATTAGACTTGTGCGATGATCATTACTGTATATCATTCCTGATGTACGATATGACAGTATTAAAAAATTACTAACAGTGGGACATTTTCTAAATGTTTCTTATATATTTACAATTAGATGAGATTGCTAACTGAGCCAATGCTGAAGTAGTCTGCGTCTGTTATAGAAATCTTTTACGACAAATAATTTTTTAAAATAATTTACTTCACTGATACAGCTTGTACTCTTTTGTTACTTTAAAGATTATCTGTCGCTCTATCTATCAGATGTACTTATCTAGTCACAATCAAGTCAAGAATTTTTTTTTTGATTGAAATAGGATGGTGGAGAAATTATTATACCGCTTATCTGAATTCGCTAATAATTTTACATGTTGCGGGGTATTAAGTTATAGCAATATAGAACTAATAGCAGTTGAAAATTGATATCCTATTATCAATCTCACTTGTTGTAATTCTGCTTATATACTGTAGCTAAATACGATAACTCAATCTTATGTTATTGTACAGTGTTACCTAAGTTACGTTGCTTCAAATCGTACGATCCTATTAGGTACTAAGTAAGCCTGAAAAAAGGCGAGAGAGTCAAGCAGAAGAAGTAATGTTGCTTCGTCCAAGAAGTGCAAGTAGAAGTTCTAGTGTTGATACGTTGAATGAAATAGATGATTATCCACCTCAGACGGTAACCTAATTAAAAATCATTTATTTTTTGCGGTTAAAATAAGATTAGCGATTCATTTGTTTGTTATCATAGAACATTCGCTAAAAAGGATTCATATTCTATTTCGATTATCACTCTACGTAGGAAATTACTCTAGTTTATAATAAAGTAGGCAAGAAACAATGTGACGGCCATTATAGCCAAAATTTGATCATACGCTACGATGGGAAAGCCTTTGTTTATAAAGTGTGGAATTTTCGTGTACGTATAACATATGATATTTAGCTAAATCTCAGGCCGTTTTAGGAGTAACCAAAAGACGTAATAAGTTCTTGCTCCTGATATTCATTATATTTCAATATGACTATCTAATATTTTTATGCGGCGAATGTTTAATACTAATAAATTGAGATTAATATCATGCTAATGAAATTAAAGAATGCAGAAAAACTGAGATAAATATTGCTTTTACAGCTAGATGATTGCAAAGAGACGAGAACAGCCGTTAGGAAGCTGATTAGGTAATAAATTATCCGTCGCTATAAGTTATGGCTTTTGTTTTATTGCAGCTGCTGTTTTTATCTGAATATACAGGCTAAAACATGATAATATTTTAAAATCCTATCGGTACTATCGCTATCCTGGAGGCGTATTGGAGTGTTATTTCGAACATACTTTAAGAGATCATATTAAGGCTCAGGTATGTCATAATAATAATAGTGCCATAAAGTGCCAATTTTAATACTCTGTAGTAATTGCCATTTCCTTCATCTTGACTTTAGCAATCAAAAAAAATCTTCCTAAATTCACAACAACGCTATCAAGTTCTTACCGATATATTAAATGGCTTGGAATATTTACATGATCATGGTATTGTTCATGAAAACTTAACCACGTAGGTGTAGGATTGATTTAAATCTGTCATAATTCGTTGTAGAAGTCCATATGATAAGAAGTCGAAGTTTTTGTTTTAAGGTGGTTTGAAATCAAAATTATCGCTAAATAATTCATTCCCATCTAGACCAAATTAGCTAATCGTATACCTTTAGATATGTTGCATGACTGCAAAATATTTTATAACGATAAAATCATAATTGCATTAGGTACTATAAATCCGCCTTGCTCTATCTGTATAAATTACTCAAATTCCATTTTATTCTATCTTAATTGTTTGTAGAAAGAATATTTTGATTACGAACACTGGAGAAGCCAAATTAAGCGATTTTGGATATGTTAGCTTATTTCAAACGAAGTTAGCACTATCCAAGAAAGCATTATATCACCATCATAAAATTGCTTATATGTGCCAGGATGCTCTAAATGGCCACGTTGGCAAGAAAAATGATATTTATAGCTTTGCAATTGTATGTTTTTGATTTTTGTAATTGTTACTGTATAGTCATTTCAATTATTTTAGCTTAGAATTATAAGAAACACTTTATTAAAATTAAAAATTTAATATTAAAAGTTTAGCGTTAAATTGATTAATAGGTTGCCACCGAAGTTATATCAGGAAAGCAAGCTTACGATGCCTTTAGGATCCCCCAATATCTGGTATGTCAGAGATTATACTTAAATCATACAGCCGATAATCATAATTGTATTATGTACCGAACGAGACAGTTCTACAGAATTTCTTTAACTGCTTTAGTAGATAGTTGAGTTTAAAACGTAAAGTAAAAATAATAATTAATATAAAATATGGTAAATATGATTAATATCAGTACTAATAATGGCTCAATATCAGTAATGTTGGCAGTGTAACATTAATATTGTTTATAATTTATAGACTGAGCAAACAGTCAGTTCAAAGGAGATAAAATTATTTCGTTCACTAAAAATTTTATGTAGTGACACTCTAGAAAATATTATAATTCATTTAAATAATGATGAATCTTAAATCTAGCTAAAAAACTATGTAGAATATTAATTTTGAATTAAATCTAGCCTTAGCTAGCTATTTAGTTTTCATTTTTGTCGATCACATGACGAAATTTATAAACAGTAAACTAATTATGTTCACTGCTAGCTTGTTCAACTTGACTGAATTTTTATTGAGTAATCAAGTTACCCAAGTTTGGAATGATTACAATGTTAACATTCATCAATCTTAAATAATCTGGAGTTTACAAAATATTTATATCTTAACTTAATAGCGTGATTGGCTAGCTAACGAAAAATACTGGAAATATCTGAACGATAAACGTCTTGGCTCACGTCATCAGGAGAAAAAGTTGTTTTCCACTTCTATTTCTGGCAAAACTTTTCGGGTTGAATTGCTAGAAATTTGTAATAAATGTTGCAGTGAACATGCTACGAATAGGCCTTCGCTGGTGGAAGTAAGATACTGAATTCATATTTAATTAATCGATTAATCTTAATCTCTCTATTTAGTGAAAAGTGTTGACCTACCTATGCTATCTATACATATATTCTATAATACCGTACACTGTAAATGACGCAATGATTAGAAATGATAATAATGATAAATACTTTGCTTTGTAGAAAAGAAAATTTAGCTAACTTCACTCACTTGTATCCTTTCAAAATGCAATGCCTTATTAGTTAATAGCATTTAGAATCATACTATATTTTAGGTATTTGTGAGAACTTCATCTAAGTTGAAACACACTCTTAAATCTAGCTGCCAATGTGAGATCAATAGGGCGACGGAAATTATTGAGGTATTAAGTTTAATAATTTATCATTTGTAATAGGTTAAGACCGGTTTTGCTTTACTCAAGATGAAGTATACCAAAGGCAAGCAACCTTTGGTACTTTATGAGAAATGGGAAGGGATGAGAACTAAACTAAATCACATCCTAGGACGACAATGAGTACATAAGCTTATAGGATGACGGATAATTATATATAAACTAATAATAAATTATATTTTAAATTGTTTATTTGAGAAATCAATTAAATATTTTTATGTACTGATCGTAAGTAGAACAATATAAATTGATAACGACTACTTTTCTAGCCAAGCTAGAAGCTAAAATATGTGCTATAGTATCGGTCAGACGGCACTTAACCAATTGATTAATCATGCTTATTATAGTACCGTTTCTATACGATCATAAATGATCAGAACTTCGGAGGAGATAGAAAGTTTTCGTTTTATTAACATTCATTTCTATAGACTGTCTTGGCTCCTCGTGTATTAGAACTTTCCATAAGATGGTAAAAATGTTAAAAATTTTATTCTATAATATAGCATATAGGTGTTTCCCTTTTTATACTAGAAATTATTTATGATTCTGTTATCCTTTAAAGATGCTAATGATAACAGTACTAATTTATACGTACAGTATCATCGAAAAACAGATGCAATTTCCCCATACTTTCACTGTGTTGAATGTTTAGATTGACTTTACATTTTATTGATGGACGTGCAAATTAAAACTTCAAAGTGGATGCTGTAACAAATGTGAGAGTTAATACAATATTTGATTTTATCATTAGAAGCCGTGGACTTCTTTAAAAGTCTATCTGTGAATTCATTACTGATCTTTACATGATCGCATACTTCCGCTTGGAATTACTTATCTTCATACCCTAGTTGTAAGTACGAGTATTACGCTTAAATTTTATTACTAAAATATAATTTTTTGGGGGTGTATCCAGTATTTATAAGTACAGCATTTATACTCGTTATATAACTATTATTTACAATCCGTACATAAATATATATAATTTTTTCATAATTTTAAACTATTTCACGGTACTTACTCATCAATGAATGAGTTCATTCTATCTATGCACCCATGATATGATCTTTATGCAACAGTAAATGTGGATTTTATTTACATCTTTCTATATCTGTAACTTATTAGCTGACAAGCAGGTATCAATAAATAGCGTTTAGTTTTTAAATAGTGTTTTGTTGATATTAAAAGCATTGCCAAATGAATACGTACTGTTTATAGTATTTATGATAAAGGCTTGTTATCACACTGAGAAAACAACGCGAATAATATGAAAGATCATATGGTAGATTAAAATTTCCTGCTGTTAATTGTACGTATGTTTACTAATGTCTCTAGTATTGTATACCGTATATGCTTAGTTTTTACTGGCTTTGGATTAAGAAAGTTGATATCTTAGAATTAATCGATATTCCGCTTAAAAAATTAATCCTAGCTAGTAAGATGGAGTCGTTATCAAATCTGCACTATTTAGGGGTAATTGTAGATTGCATGAATTTTGGCTAAAATCGTACTTTATTCAAGCTTATAAATAGGTAAGTCATAGAAATATGAATTGAGACAAGATTTAGGTATGATTCTTAAATTAATTTTTGATTAAGAGCTTTCAGGGATATGCTCTATTTATATGTTTAACGAACAAAACGATAGTGCAAAGAATGTCTGTATAAAACATAAATTGATATGGAATCCAGCGTATACATTACTGAGCCTTACTCTAAGAACCAATGATTTGAAGTAAAGCTGAACACTATTACAGGACTGTTAACCACAGTATGCAGCCTATTGATTATCTGTTCAAGAGATCAATGATTCTAAAGCTAGTAGAACTATGTAAATGCATATAAGGCATATTGAAATCAAATATCCTATTCCTCAGAGGCTTTTTAGAATTCTATAACCATATTCTATCAGAATTTTCAATTGCTGTAAATATTGGTGCCATTTAACGTTTAAAGTTAAAATCAATGTTCCAACAAAATGGTAAATAAAAGGTTATAATTTGATTCAAAGCAACTTAATTACACGATAAACAGGTGTTATGGAATTTAAAATATCCATTTCCTGTTGCTTAAAATATTCCAATATTGCTGCAAGTGTTGCACCAGTAAAACTTATCCTTTAAGCTCAGTCAATCTGTAATTATAATTAATACTAAAGATCTTAGCACATTATTGCTGAAGGACTCTTTCAATAATTAAATATAATATCATGAATTTTCACTGTTAGTTGGTATGTTTCAAATATTATACCATAAATTCCGATCAAATAAGTTAATGATACAGTAACGAACCAGTCTAATATTTAGATTAAAATAACATCATACAAAAAGATCTTTTCCTAGCAACTTCAAATGCTATGTGAAATGATACCAGTCAAATGAACTGGATTGCAGTAATTCTTATCTGCAAATAGTTGATTTCTTCAATCCATGATTTAATGCGCAGCATAAACACATCAATTTATAAGTTTAGTATCTATTTTGAACATCATTTTTAGTTATAGAAGGTAGATTTAATGTTAGCAATTTATTTTACGTCATGTTTGCTGATAAGAAGTCAAAATTTAGATGTAAATGTAGAGATAAAAGACGGGTTTGCACGTTAGCAGATTAGACATCTGTAGTATACAGTGCAAGATCTGGTGATTCTCCTGGTGTCATCGGACTCGTTTGTCCTGCTGATTTAGTGTCATTCGTTGATGCTTTATCTTGAACTTTGGCGGAATTTTTATTTATAGCATTTTTCTCTTTAACAGTTTTAGCCTCATCCGTAGGTGATTTATCTTGTACTTTCGTGGAGATTTGATCATCTATGAAAAAAATCTTTAATTGGCTCTTTTCAGGAGGTTTAGCATCTATATTTATATTTTTTGCTGTAACAGGCGCCGAAGCCGGCCGGCGTTGTTTTTTGCTTGATGGTTTCGTAGGTCTAATATTAACTGTATCATCTTTTAGAACGATAACCTTCTTTAAGTTTTTATTTTCGTCCTGTTGTGTAAAGGATGTAGTGGAAGAATCTTTACTCAATTTATCAACATCCAAGTGCTTGATGAAAACCTCTAAATCTTCACGTATCTATTGAGATTAAATAATATCATGAAAAGGCTGTTACTTAAAAAATTTGGCATAGGTACTTATAAGCGATGGCTATATTACTATACCTCATCGATGTAAGGTCTATTACTTTTGATATGTAAACATTTTTCTGCAATTTCCAATAATCCTGATACACATTTGGCTGGCCATTTAATCTTCTTATCCGATGGAAATGGAAGTTTTCTTTCTTTCTTTTGAAAGTAAATATCACTCTACAATTTGTTAACGTTCAATTCGAAAGTAAAATTTGATGCAGTAGATCTGATAATGTTAAAAGGATTGAATAGGCTACATAATAGCTAATTTACCAGCATATGAGGTGATCTCTTGGTTGAATATGGCAGAAGAATTGATATAATTTCCAGTACCAGCTAAGTACATAATAAAAGGACACAGCAATCATTATGTTAGTAAGTTTAATTTTAGTACAGTATAGTGGTGATATTATCTTAACTCTAGTACAATTGAAACATAGTAAACAATTGATGGTAAGTAATACTTACAACACCAAATCCGTAGACATCATACTTTCTGGAAACTACTCCATATTTGGCTTCAGGTGGCATATAACCATGAGTACCACAAGCTTTGAAGGCAGTAGCACAAATCGACTCTCTTTCTATGACTTGAACTGATCGTGCTAATCCAAAATCAGATATTTTCGCCTTACGATTTTTATCGAGAAGGACATTTCCACTAAGATAGCAATTTTATGTGTTTAGTAATGAAATTTGGGGGAATATTTAATTTATATAGGCTACAACATAAAATGTTACGATCTATATCATGAAAATTTTGGTACCTGCTGATATCTCGATGAACTAATGCCTTTGAAAACGCAGTATGCAAATATTCTAAACCTTTAGCGGTACCTAATATTATATCTATTCTTTGTGTAGCAGTAAGAATCTCGTCGGCCTCCTATAGTTAATATTTGAAGTTACTGAGATAGACTGCTATTGAAAGAGCTTAACTTTATGATTCTCGTACCGTAGCTTCCAACGAATTTCTCAAGGGACCCAATGCTGCAAATTCTAAGACCAGGCAAACGTTTTTCCGATTATAGCCATATAATCGAATTAAGTTTTCATGTTGGAATCTACGTAAATCGTATTCAAGGGTGTTTAATTTTATCAAGACGAATAGTCTAGTAGAGTAGCCGTGACAGTCTGCAAAGAAGGCAATCATCTTACCGTACGAGGGAAGACAGTTCTTTCTTAATGACTGCAGCAAACTATAAAAAATAGCAATATGAGAATAAATAAATTTAATTCATTAAGCAAATAATACAACATCGGCATTCTAATAACATTAGTTTTGCAATATTAGCCACATTCGTAATTATCCTATGGAGGTATCTGTAGCAGATAATTTCTAAGGTGTATTGTGATAAAGGAGCTAACAGGACAGATTGATTTCAAACAAGCTGGCACTAGAATCAGGGACTATTGCTGGAATGATGTCGGTTATTAAACATTTGTGCATGCAAGATGAATACTTACTTCAGGTTTTAAGAATTTAATGGCTACGATTGTGTCTTTCAATTTTCCACGATATACTATTCCAAAAGAGCCTTTACCAAGGAAGTTAGCCTCACTACGATTGTTTGTAGCCATCTCAATATCCTAGGGGATTCAAAGATACTTGATTACTTGTCATATTGGCAACGATAACAAAACTTTACATAAGGTCTTATTGACTTTCTCCATATGATTCCAGCAAATACCTTACCACCAGAATTAATACTTACTTCGTCACAGACTTGTAAATCTTTATCTAGGCTACCTTCTAAACGTTGCAATGATAATTTTGCAAAGAACTAGAGTGGGCAAAAATAGACTGTTTCAGCTATCGTTACAAATTGAATGTATCTAGCATATCGGAAACTTTTGCTCGCATGCTATTAATGCTTATTGTATTCTATGACAGAATTTGAAGGAAACCACAACCTTTCGGAAATAGTCTGCCATGATCAAATCCTTGTATGTTGTATTTGTTGATTTCTGATAAACTCAAAATAGAATCGCCGTTTTATCCAACCGATGTTAATCCAACTTGAGTGTCAATGATATTTGACTTCACGTCTAGATAGAAACAAAATTACAACACAGATTAAGATAGAATCAACTCCTTCCTCTAGCCTCTACAAAATCCATCATTTGACTAGAATTGTACTTTAATTAAATGCTTGATTAATCACCATAACAACATTTAATTCAAGATTTTGGTAACATAAGGACGTGATAAGGTTATACTCTTCTTTGCTCTTATGTGTGGATCTAACTTTCAATAGCAACGCAATATAGATTGCTGTACAGTCTATATTTTCATCCAATCATAGGTATTTTATAGATTTACTGATAGTGTACGTAGGAAAGCGTAAGAAAGTCAAAAACTGCATTTAAAGGCAGAAAAAAAGTTGAACTGTTGTTTTGCTAGTCTATCATATCAAATTGATTCTGTTGAGGATAGCAACTGTATATTGGGCAAATATTATCATTAAAAAAAATTAATTTTTTCTTAGAAACGGTAGCAATATTGCGATATACGACGCGAATATTTTTTGTCAAGCATCGACGATAGACATGATAAAGACTGGGTTTGATTTGATGTTTGATGGCCTAATACCGTATAAATGTAGCCATAACATTTACGATCATAGTATCCATCAATTATTCGCTAACCTGTCACGAATAGAATATAGAAAACCAATGGAGTACAAACACACTGGCCTCATAAACAAATTGGCAATAGCTGCTAAGTATACATCCTTATCACCGGTAGATTACCATGTTTTTTAATTTCAGGCACAAACAATTATACAACACTGTATTGGACTCGTGTAATATATAATTATTTGCTTTCTAGCCTTTAAAGTAGTATCTACGGCAACTAAAGGATATCTTTCCGAAGGCAAAGCCTACGTCATGAAACAATGGCCAATTTCTCAAGTGCCACCTTATTTACGGTACTTTGGTATTTTTTCCCGATATTGAAGATAGCATGGACTACACCTGAAATGTTCTCTTTCTGAAAGTAAAGGCTAGCTATGTCAACCTTAATAAATGCAAGGAATTTTTTCTACCACTGCCTTATTGGGATTGGTTTACTGGCATAAATATTGATGTATCTGCATGATCTACTACGTAACAAACTACGTTAAGTTTGAGGCAAGTATCCATTATTAAGTTAGTCTTTTGTTGGTAGAATCAGCGCGTGTATTGCTTTCTTCCACATAGAGTCAACATTTTTTTTCTACTATATTGCTAACGATCTTAATTGTTGTTGTTTATTTTCAAGTGGTATGACTATGAAGTCCTCGTACTGGATAATAACAGCAGCAAATCAATTGCTATTTATTTGGCAAAATTGTTATTCTGCTTGCGTTGGGTTAACGACGATCGCTAATATCATATGATTCATTTTTAGCTAACAGCGATAATTCAATGGTTGATTTCATTAGTAAAGAGTCACTGTGAATCACGATGGGAATTTCTGACAGTTTTGTTCGAACGAGAATGATGAAGGAATCATTTTCAATCATCCAGTACTGTCGTGAAAAATGCGATTGACATGATCATTTAGTATAGAGTACCGTGGAGAATGGTATCAAGTGTATCATCGTGACTAATTGCATATAAATAAATAATATTGGTTAAAGTCGATAAGCCATAGAGCAAAAGAGTTGTTGATTTCAGTGCTGAGAAATACGGTCAAAACGTGCATAAAATATGAGACAGGCAATGTCCTTCAAAGTGTACCAAGCATAGTATTTGCTATGGAAAATTTAATTTTTTCCTCGTAGAAATTCTTTTCTAAACAAATTGAAATCATCAAAGTAGTGTTATGGCGATTTTTTCAGCAATAACGGTAAGCACATTAAATCAATTTTTATCCGGTGTTGGATCATTTTTTGCATAGTATAACTTTACAGGCATATTGATCCAATTTTACCCGTACTGTCCATGCAAGAATCGTCAAAGTGCATCGCAATCATATCGATATACTTTGCCATGCAATCATGTGAAAAATGACGAAACACATGGTAGATTGTCGTTGGTATTACATATTCTACGCTTGTTATTGACTATCCTATACACTGTACAGTATAGCATAAGTTCTTTTATCTTTCTTTTTCAACCTTGAACAGTCAGTAGTAAAGTAACTTCTATTTCAATTAGGAATAACTAGCAATGGATACTACTATCCAAGTCGAGTGCGATGGTCGTTGAGCAATCAAGTCAAAAAATCATCAAAAACAACCGTTGAACTAGAATACGATCGATCCAATCATAACATGGAGTTGTTATGATCAGACCCTTGCAACATAGGATGTTATGGATGGAATATTGCGATCACAGTGATTTCTATTTCAATTAGGAATAACTAGCAGTAGATACTATTATCCAAGTTCAATTTAGGAATAACTAGCAATGGATACGATTATCCAAGTTGAATGCGATGGTCGTTGAGCAATCAAGTCAAGAAATCATCAAAAACAATCGTTGAACTAGATTACGATCGATCCAATCATAACATGGAGTTGTTATGATCAGACCCTTGCAACATAAGATATTATGGATGGAATATTGCAATCACAGTAACTTCTATTTCAATTAGGAATAACTAGCAGAGGATACTATTATCCAAGTCGAATGCGATGGTCGTTGAGCAATCAAGGCAAAAGAAATCATCATAAACAACCGTTGAACTAGATTACGATCGATCCAATCATAACATGGGGTTGTTATGATCAGACCCTTGCAACATAGGATATTATGGATGGAATATTGCGATCACAGTAACTTCTATTTCAATTAGGAATAACTAGCAGAGGATACTATTATCCAAGTCGAATGCGATGGTTGTTGAGAAATCAAGGCAAGAAATCATCAAAAACAATCGTTGAACTAGATTACGATCGATCCAATCATAACATGGAGTTGTTATGATCAGACCCTTGCAACATAGGATATTATGGATGGAATATTACGATCACAAACGAGATTAATCAACATTACCGAATGGCTGGCTCTTCCAACTTGAAGCAAGGTAAAAAGGCAGAAAAGAAGAGCAATCTTAATCGGCGATGTGGTTAATTTCAATTTTAAGCATGTCCTTTAGTCCTTGTTTAGACTGCTTTTAGGCGAAGAAGAAAAAAGTCCAATGGGTCAAGCTTGATCCTCCCTGCAGGTTATTCCAGCGTTCTCCTACTATCCTCTTTCACGTCTTGCTTGTTTCCGCTACCATACTCTGTCTTGACCGCGTGTCCAAGCAAGACAAGGAGAATAATTAATGTAAACAGTCGTAGTAGGACAATTGGGGTTGGGCTACCGTGCCAGGGCAACTGAACCACTTAGACCATTGTACTTGTCCCTGCTTGGACGATGTACACAATGATATTGTAGGTAAAGGGTGGAAAATGGGGGCCTGTTTACCCCCCCCCCCCCCCCCATGTCGGAACGACAATGGCTTGCACAAAAAAGGATTTCTTTTTCCTGATGTCCCTTATGTTGTACAATGTACAGACAGTGGAGTGTATATCTAGTTGGCGATACCTTTCTACATGTTATGTTGACAGATGTACTGATGATGGTGCAAACTAATCATGAAAATGGCGTCTTCAACCAATGCATTGGTTGCGCTGGATAAATCGATAGCGCGACGGTTTCCGATTGCTGTGCACATCGGACTAATAAATCAATCAATCCATCATGACTATCCCAGTCCAATAAAACTGCATTGGGCTTTCCGGTCTACAGATATCATCGCCAACAACAATGTAGAATGAATCGACAAGAGGATGAAAAAGATGTTTTTGCCTTGATGTGGCTTGCAGGTGCGAGCTTCCAACATTGTACATCGCTGATCAAGTTACCCTTGGCATCGGGAAATCACTGCCTATGCAAGTGTTGGACATTATCAGCCATGAATCAATACTGAAAAGGACTGGGCAATGTCTCTGTTTACGCACTGGTGTCAATTCTATTCGCCATAAATGAGTAATTGAATAAATTGAATTGCACAGCTCAAACTAGCTAGTCATGGATAGCAGCTGTACTATACGCTCCATGAGTAGTTTACACGATGAGCGGTGTATTCATAGTGTTTTTCGAGTAGTTTATGCTACAGTACACGTCATAATTTAGACTTACACTGGTGGACAATTCAATATTATGCAATGGAGTGCTAGAAAATTGTCGTTTCCAATTTCTGCAAGAGGTATTCCTCTCATGACAGTCGCAATCCCTCTTATTACAGTACCACTATCGACATGCGCTATCTCCGCCATCCCCACCACCCGCCCCCATACCATCCCCATCACCCGCCCCATACCAACACAGTGAAATCCCTCCCATAGTACTGTATGAGTCAGCAATTGAATACAGTATACAGTAGTAACAGCACAGTCAATGGTTAATGACAGTTATCGACACGGACTTGTAGAAATAGACAAGACTACCAGTACAGTACAAAATGAACTCTGTAAGTTGGCCTAGCGGAAGGCCTCGAGTGTAAACGGTGCTAAATTCCTTACTAAAAGCTACAAAAATGAACAAAAAATGAGCTTAAAATGAGCTGAAAATGTCGTCAACATCAGTTAACCTCTCAACACAACCTTGGTAAACAATTCCAAATAAACAATCGTCTACAGTACTATATACTGTGCTTTACAATGATATTTATTTCTGCACTGTAGCGAAACCGGATACACGTGACAGTTGCACGTGACACCAATACACGCAGCTGATACGCTTGTCCAACGCAGCTGATAGTGAATGACAAGGACTACTGAAACAATAGCAAATTGCTACAATATCAGTATGGAGTTCACGTGGCTTGAATGGGATAAAAGAGTAGCGTCCCTGGATCGATGCTGATAGGATGAACTGCAAGGCTACCGGAAAAATCAATCAACCTGATGTAAAAGCTAGTTAATCGTCGCCATGTCGGATTGAATTTCTTGAAA